ATAATTGTGCTGCATTACGCGACGATGGAAGTTCATCAGCTGCACCACTCGCGTTTGCACTTCAGAAGGCTCTGGCATTCCCTCTGGCCAAGCAAACTGGGATGGCCGCTCGTTCCCCTTTCGCAATAGACCCTTGAGCTTCTTCTTGACTTTATCCATCTCATCCTTGGCCGCGTTGGAATCATCCAACAAATCCTTCCGTATCGTAATAAAGTCTTCTGGAAGGTCATTCTTCTCTATAAACGATGCTGCCCAAATCTGCGCACTAGCTGTAACTCGTCGCTCAGAGCTACTAAACACGTGAACTTGGTCTAGTATATCACGATTTAGTAGAAGATAGTCATTACGCATATTTTGTGCCAACTCTTGCGCCTGGTAACGTGCCGAGTGAGTCGGCTCGCCTCCCCACTTGACAATAAGCTGCAACTTATCTAAAACGAAACTGTTGTCGGCTGCGGTGAATTTGGACATCGTTACCCCTGACATGGAATCTTGGCGTCGCGGTGGGTATTTCGGCTGTTGTTCAGAGTCAGATACGACTACTTCCGACGGATCAGCCCGACGCTGACCGTCTTCGGCCTCCAATTGTTCTTTTGCGGGGGGTTGGTCCGGTTCCTTTTTAGCTTCTACTTCCTTATGTGGGTTTTCTACAATCTCAGACTCCATCTTTACTCCCTCGGTGACTTCAGGAGTTGATTCGTTCATCTCGGCCGTTTTCTTCTTACGAAACATTGGCTTGATTTGAACTTTTGTGCCTGCCCATCCTCCTTTCTTAACCAACACATTACGAAGGGACTTAAGTTTATTTCGGTCCTCCTCGCCGGCCTTCAAAGCCAAGTCGACCGCATCGAGGACGCTGGCCAAGGCAGGCTCTCCAATAAGGAGAACCTCTTCTTGGTGGCCTTTTAGAAGGTCGATAAATGGCTGTGTGTGAAAGGTAAATTTGTACTTCTGTTTTGGAGTGCGGTCTGCATGTCGGATGACCGAGACCATTCCCTTGAGCTTCCACGAGTGTTTGGGAGGAGGGGGAGGCGGTGTCGGTTCCTCTAAGTGGTCGGCTTGCTCCTCCGCTTTACTTGAGGGTGTAGTCGGAAGAGTTGGAAGGGCCGTAGTCGGTAAGCTGCTTGCAGCAGAGCCACCTGTAAGGTAAGTTATGGGACTAATGATACCATTCTGCAGTCTTGTCGCGATACCCGCCACTCCCGTATCAGTCTTGGACGGCGAGGCGTTTGCTGCGCTCTGCTCGTCCTTGCCTTCTTTACTCTCTTCGGGGGGAAGTGTGCCTGCGCTTCCTGCGGACTTTGGCTGTCTTGTACTAACCAACGCATCTTTTTCCTTGCTACTAAAAATAGCTTGCTTTAGTGGATCGCCAATGTCGGAAATAGTAGGCGATGGGAGAGGCGGCGTTGGCCCCCCACGACGAATCTTCTCCTTGATGAAGATATCCTTCAAGATACTCGCACAGTGATCGTAGTAGGTTTCGTTATCTTTGACGAAGCTCCAACCATTGACATCTATGACATAACTTTTACCACCCGCTCGAAGTAGATCGAACCCACAGACGCGTTGTCCAAACGAATTGGCAATCTTGCTTGCAATCTCCTTCTCTTCCGGGCCCAACGAGGTGACATAACGTATCTCTTTGCCATGCGTATTGCGCCGAACAATGCCATCTACGACAGGGGACTTTCTTGTCTCGGCATGGCAGTAATGCGGTCCAACCGTGTAGGCTTTTACATCTTCTGCGTTGTCTACCTGCATAAACTTCTCATAAATGAAGCTACCCTCTGGCTCGGTAATAGCACGGGGAATAACAAGATCTTTGACAAACTCCGAGCTTTTGTTACCAATTTTCCTGAAGAGTTTACGGGCACCCCCGCCAGAAGATTGTGGAAAATAGATAATGATGTTGTGGTCTTCGCCGCTGGTTGGTTTCTCAACAAATGGCTTCTTTAGTAGGGTACCGTCCACGCTTAAGATATCTCCATCGTCAAGCAACTCTACCTTGCGAGGGAAGCGATAGTTTTCTGGTCCAGGCTCGAGGGTAATGCCGGTAACATCTTTTATATGTTTTGCAACATCTGGGGTTAGCAAACTCGGTCCGCCGTCGCGATTTACTTCGACTCGTTTCGGGGTTGGTACTTCGATCTTGTCAAGTATTCGCAGACAGAGTCGCCTATCCCAAAGTACCTTTTGCATCGGCACATCATTAACACAGAACGGTTTTCGAGCTTTAACATAAGCTATAGCCTTTTCCAAAGGGAAGCCATCTGAATAGAAAGATATTAAATAGTCGCATATCGGCCAGTTTTCCACTTCTGCTCTGTTGTTAGTATCCTGAGCCACCTGACTTTATTACCAATGGCGTGTTCTCACCTTCGTCTAAAATTGTCTTATCTCCGAACACTATAACGTCGAATTCACGGTTTGCAATTAACCTGTTAAGAATATTCCTGCTTGGTTTGCTTCTGGCTTTAGCATCCAGCGCGCAGACACCAATGATACCCCATGGTGCTGGCTTAACCTCTTCCTTCTCTTTAACGTGAGGACCTCGTTCGCTGCTAGGGCTCTGGCTACTATTAGCAGTACTACCGCTCAATCGCCGTTTGGCCCTGCTTCGAGATCGAGTCACCTGGGGCCGAGGAGCTGGGTTTGGCGTAGGCGCAGGGTTTCGCTTGACGAGGTCTAGAGGATTGGTATGATGAGTCTCCCGCGGAGTTAACTGAGGGCCGTTGACAGGGTTCGGGTTATTCGAGTTAGAAGATGTGGTGACTGTTATATTAGACACGCCAGACTCGGATTGACCCGGGGATGGACCCAGGCCTTTGCCAGAAGCCATGATGCCCGATACGGGGCGTTGGATACCACCACCGCCGTCCGAGCCGTTTGTGGAGGGAGCAGAGCTTGCAACGCCACGAGACGACGCAAGAGAGAAGACGGAAGAGACAGAAATGCGTTTCCCGACCTCGCGCTCTGAGGACGAGGAGGGTAGATTTACTGCAGGTTCCGGTAGTTGATAAGGAGAATTTGTGTCAGTGACAGAGTGGCCGGGCTGTTGTTTCGGGGTATTCTCGATATCGTCGATAGCAACTTCGTCGGTTGTGGTGGTACTAGTGTGGAAGTCTTCATTCCAGCTATTGGAACCGAATGACTCGCGTGTACGATGAGATGGAGGAAGATGGGGCGGCTTTGATGATCTAGCTAGAGGTGGCATAGATAAGCTCGCGGGTTCGACTGATACATCGGCAGTCCCAAGAGGCTCGGCATGTCGACTTTTCCCGCTTGTTATGGAACTGGCGATGCTACTAGCTACAGACGATGGCGAGCGGGTGCGGGAGTGTGAAAATGACCAGGAAAGCCTCTTCTTGCTGGAACCGCTTAGGCTGCGACCCGACTTGTTATTAGTATTATTAGTAGTAATATTATTAGTCTCCATCCTTTCTAGGACGAACGACCCTAGAGTCTAAAATTTTGTATAGTGTACTCCGCAGTCTGACCGTTTACTGCAGTGTTTCCGTCATTCGATAAGTTCTAAGTACCTATCGGCGTGGCTAGATAAAACCTTCGATGCTCAACTTCCCACTTCTTTCTTCTCGTAGTAACTCCTAGAGCTTAGCTACACGTGCGTACCACAATACCTTATTCCGAGTAAGTACTATCGATTACTAACGGATAAGGTGAGGATCCCTGGATACTTGGAGACGGTGGCAAATGATACCTATGTCGTTCACCTCCTGGCCAAATGTCGTGTTCTATGTAGTGAGTTGGGCGAAACCAGCCTTAATAAGACCTCCACGATTAACCTATATAAAGGAATTCAATATCCAGGTCTTGCTACTGATTTTATTGCGTATGTATGAAATTATTCGTTAGGAGGAACTAGGTTAGGTTATAGGTTAGGTTACTAGGCTCAGTGCCCCCTTCGAAAGAAATATAAAGAAATATCGATTCGGGACCCGATTTATTTTAGTTTGTCGTGACTTCGTGAATGTTGGAAGTGGGTCGCGGATACGGCAATTCGGAATATCAAGCGTCAGGGATACATCATGAACTCCATTGGAAGCTCAGATAGACAATTTGATAATCGCATCTGCGGTCCACGGCTAGGAGTATACGTGGTGGGCAAGTGGGCCAGTGAAAGATGTAGACCATCAGACAAACAAGACCTCCCTCTGTTATCGGATTCGTTGAAAGAAAGCCGAGATGCTACTGTAATTATGGAATTTTGTATGGTGGGAATTCTGTAAACCGCATCATTGGCAACATGATAATGTACCTCATGGTGGCGTCTTGAACACATGCCAATGACATGACGTCCAATGCCAAGGTCACAGGGGTAATCAGCCAATAGTATGGAATAATTGAGGTGGTGTGGCGCTTAGTACGACGGTTAGTTTTGTTATTTTCAACAAGTATTAAGGCGGTGAAAGTAAGAAACTATTACCTTAGCCTAAGTACCTAACATAAGGTGTTATTAGGTATCTGGTTAAGAATATCTTTCCCTCGAATAAAAAAGTATCCTCTTAGACATTAAAAGGGTTAAAATTGTATATATTTTCTGAGTACAAACAGTGGCGCGCATATGCGATAAACCTTTTGACAATGTTTTGTCATCATGTGGGGCTATAGATCGATAACAGCGATAACTACCGATACATACAGCGATACTGCTATTGATACATGTAGTTATCGATAATGATAAGAATTACAGCATTGAAGCTAGTTAAATGTATAGGTACCTTAGATAGGTACCTATTCAATACTTCAATTGTCCTTGAAGATTGAAGTTGAGTAAGTAACTTGTAATAAGATGATCACTATAAGCCAAATCATTGAAGTTAGTTGTCCCTAGAGTCAATTGCAGTAGTTGTAGATTATCCTTATAAATTTCAAATACAAAAGCTCTATCAATAGCAGTCGTATCTCTAAGTACTTTACCAGTAGTTTAGGATAAGATAGTGGGGCCAAGGTACCTAGTACAAGACGCCAAAAATGCTTCGCGCTGTTCCGTCCTAAGAAAAAAAAAATCCATTTACAGATGGCTGAGTAGTCGTTGCGCTGCGATTCCTAGATGCTAGATGCGACCACGAAAGCTCTGGCAGTTAAAGCTCAATTCACATAGGGGCTCAACAATTATTCCGACGAGCAATTCGTTATAATGCCTCATTCAGAGCCAGAAGGACCATTGGTCAAGCGTCAGAAGCTCAATTCTGTTGCGAAATCCAAATCATCCACATCGCAACAGTCTAGGATATTTGCTCCATATCGGGTATGTTCAGACACTTTTAGAATCGCAATAGCCATGCCTAGTTCTAATATACAGTGTTAAGACAATCGGCCTCGTTTCTCCTACTAATGTGCCCTTCACCTCTGTTCCTCTCGGGAATACTACCTTCCAGGTTACAACATCTATAGGCCGCTCGCTCCAGACTTATGACCTTAAACGCGGCCTCAACCTCGTCTTCATAACTCGACCTCAGACGCCAAGTACCATCACGGCGACATGCGCTTGGAAACAGAAGGTATTTGTTGCCTGGGGCGACTCCCGAGAAGGCTCCTCTCAGGGTATATGGGTTTTCCAGAGAGGGAAGAAAGTTGGCGAGTTAGAACTTCCCTCTGATCTACACCAGCCCATTAAGCAGATTCTCGTTTTCGGATCTTGGATTGTTGCCTGTGGCTTGACAAGAATAGAAGTATGGAAGACGGCGACATTGGAACACTATACGACTCTTTTTACTATGGCTTCGAAAAAGCTCGATAACGAACTCACCGGAGGTATATGTACTATGCCGACCTACTTAAATAAGATATTCGCTGGACGTCGGAACGGATGGGTTGAAATCTGGAACATCTCTACTGGAAAACTTATCTATACCATCCTACCTCCATCTCCAAGCTGTGGTGCTGTCACTTGCATGCAGCCAACACCTGCACTTTCTCTAATGGCTATCGCATACGCAGAGGGGCCTTTAGTTATTCATAACGTACTCACAGACAAGAAAGTGCTTGAGGTCAACGCAGGTACCGAGGATGCGCCCGTGACTAGCATTTCATTCCGCACGGACGGTATGGGCGCAGGCCAGGATGGGCGCAAAGATGGCGTTATGGCGACAGCTACGCAGTCGAGCGGCGATATCACATTTTGGGATCTTAACCAGGGTGGTAGGATTATGGGCATTCTTAGAAGCGCTCATAACCCTCCGATGCAGGAGGGGGCATCGATTCGCGGAGGTGTAAGCAAGATTGAGTTCCTTGCCGGCCAGCCCGTCATTGTTACCAGTGGTAGAGACAATTCCTTAAAAACTTGGATATTCGACGAAACTCCATTTTCGCCTATACCACGAATATTACACACGAGGAGTGGCCATGCTGCACCAGTCACCAGTTTGCAGTTCTTGCCGACCGATTTTGAAGGTGCTGAAGCAGGTAATAAATGGCTCCTTAGTGGCGGTAGGGATAGGAGTCTCTGGGGCTGGAGTCTTCGTCGAGACGGTCAAAGCACGGAATTGAGTCAGGGCAATATACGCAAGAAGGCTAAGAAATACGGAATTCTGGACAGCAGCACCCTAAGCCGTGGTCCAACTACCACGCTCGATGACTTAAAGGCGCCGGAGATCACATGCATAGCATGTTCTTTAAATAGAGATGGTGGCATGGGTGCCGTGCCCGGGAAGCAGGTGTTGTGGCAAAAATCTCAAACTCAAAAGAAGCCCATAGATGCCGAGATTAGCGGTATGACGGGTTGGGAGAGCGTGGTTACAGCACACAAGGACGATCCGTTTGTTCGAACCTGGTTTTGGGGCCGAAAAAGAGCTGGAAGATGGGCATTCCAAACCGGCGACGGCGCAAACGTATCATCCGTGGCCATGAGCCCATGTGGGACCTTTGCTGTCGTTGGATCTGTTGGCGGATCTATTGATATGTTCAACCTTCAATCAGGACTACACCGCCAACGATTTCCATCCAAGCTCACACCGGCGCAGGCAAGACAAGTCAAAATGCAGCAGTTAAGACAGGCGGATACCGTTGTTCAGCTTCAAGCTCGATCCGCAACTGGTTTTGCACCAGGAATTGGAAAGCATACGAAAGCAGTCACCGGGATTGTTGTCGATTCAATGAACAAATACGTGATTAGCTGCTCCTTGGACGGCAAAGTAAAGTTCTGGGAATTCCTTACAGGAAATCTGCTTGAGGAAATCAACTGGGCTCCGATGACAGGAATCATAGGCTGCCGCTACCATGCTGCAAATGATCTCATAGCCTTTTCCTGTGACGACAACTCTATTCGGGTCGTAGATATTGAGACGAAACAAACTATTCGTGAATTCTGGGGATGCCAGGGCAGAATCAACGACTTCATTTTCTCTAATGATGGCCGCTGGATAGTAGCAGCGTCTCAGGATGCTATAATACGAGTTTGGGATCTACCGACAGGTCACTTAATTGATGCTATTCGATCAGAGAAACCTTGCACCGCACTAGCCTTCTCAGCAACGGGGGAATATTTGGCTGCAGCCACTGAGGGAGAGTTGGGTGTTAACATATGGAATAACAAGGCTCTCTTCACACACGTTCCAACCCGACAAATATCCGAAGATTCAATCAAGCAGATATCGGGACCGACGGCATCAGGAGAAGGAGGCCAGGGCTTGCTCGAAGCAGCTTTTGAAGAGGCAGCCTCTCAAGAAGATGATGAAATCACTGCACCTGGCGTGGATCAGCTCAGTGCCGATATGATGACGTTAAGTCTGGTTCCGCGAAGCAGATGGCAAACACTGTTGCACCTGGACTTGATTAAACAGAGGAATAAACCAACGGAAGCTCCAAAAGCTCCAGAAAAAGCACCTTTCTTCCTGCCATCAGCAACCAACACCGGCGCCTCAAATCTAGACGCAGCCCAGCCGAACACGGACCAAGCTCAGAGTCAATCGAGGATCACTCGTTTCGATCAGAACAGGGCAGAGCAAGTATTCACGAATAAACTGCAAGCGGGAGCTACTTCTGGGGATTGTAAGAGCCATTGCCTATATTCCCTATATCATTATATTTGTGAGCTAACTTTAAACAGTTACCGAATTCATCGAGCATCTTAAATCTCTCTCTCCGGCCACGGCGGACCTGGAATTACGCTCTCTGACAACTGGGGATGATGATGAAACCAACGAGCTGCTTCATTTCATCCGCGCCATGACCAGCCGCCTTGTGGCACGTCGTGACTACGAGCTCACCCAAGCCTGGATGGCTGTCTTCCTTCGTCTACATTTCGATTTGATCTTGGCGAGTGATACCCTAATGAGCGCACTGTCGGAATGGAAGAAACATCAAGCAGAGGAATGCAATAGATTAGACAATCTTGTTAGTTACTGCGGAGGAGTTGTGAACTTCCTGAGAAGCCCACGCGCATGATTTGGAATTGCCACGTTAGATATATACACCTATATTCAAATATGTACTTGGAAAGTCAACTCTCCCCGTAACGGGGACCTTCCTGCCAACGCCCCTGAGGTTTTACGTAGCGTCCTCCGTCTGTCATGATTCCTTTCCAGGGGACTAAGTTTGCCGCCACGCAAAACTAAGTGCTACCTAAGTAGTGATAAGGTTTCCTAGATCATATATGTAAAGAACAGAATTTCTATATAAGGGTTATGGTTATTACTATGGAAGGAGATTCAAGATGAGGCCAGGAGCACGCTCTCAGCAGAGCACGGGAGAGAGCACATGATTGACGGTGGACAACGTGTCGACTAGAGTGCTGATAACCGGGGATAGAAAGTCTTTTTGAATCAAATGAGGGAGACGAAGACGGTGGGACGATGAAATGAAGCGCAAACGAAGTCGCGATGGCGATATACATATTAATTAGCGAGATTGATCAACGGCGTTTGCTTGCGAGTTTTTGATCTCTTGTTAATAGGGCGCCGAAGCGGGTAGTTGCTTTGGCCAATTAGATAGCTTCATTGTCTCCTTTTAGACGATTCAACCAGGTAGTTTTTAATGTATTAGGTACCTAGTTAGATTAAGTCTTAAGTTTCTAATATGTATTATATTACACGCGAAGACCTTATCACACATCTAATCTTTGTAATATACTGCTGTATTACAACGAACGAGATGATTTGGCATAGGTACTGGTGGCCTAACTGGGGTCACACATGATTAATAGCTGCCTTGTGTAAATATAAGTCATATAACCTAGAAGATCTTTCTACTCGATGCGGGTTTCTAAACCCGAAGGTAAGGGAAATACATAATAGGGATGAGAGGAGAGCGAAATTATAGCACACTAAAATGCAGTCGTAACTTATCAATTGCTCGAGCTAGCTCTAATACTTTATAAAGGAGCTACTTCGTCATCATCGCTTAGTGGGTTTCCACGATTATAAAATTTGAAGGTGGCCCGTAGATGTAGTTGGTGCTAATAGGGGTTGAATAAAGAGTTTATCTGCAAGATATAATGAGGGTTTTGCTGTGGAAGTAGGAATGATCATGATTACTAGGAAGATAGCAAGATACCGACAATTGTAGTAGTTGCCTACCTAATGATAAGTATTTCTGACATTAATTTTTATTCTCTTTTTACATGGGAGAGACTGTGTCTTAGATTGCTCTTTGTTATGATCCTATGAGACATCCATTACACAAGGTGTTCTTAGTGTGTATGTATAGCCACTGGTCTCCGTAGTTTAGGTTTAGAGTTCCTTGCAAAACAACAAAGTTGATTCCATGCCTTCTAGATCTACTTCGTGATACCTTCTCTCGACTTTGTGTAGCACTTAGTATATTAAATACTACCATGTAACCTTCAGTGTTTGTTACTACGTAAGATATGTCGTCGTGCAAAGTTAGCTCTTTGTACGAGGAACAGTTGGTATGGATCAAACCAGATGTGGACAGTGGACTCGATCCAGTGCTACCAGTGCTACCAGCGCTGTGCGCAATGTTAAGGAGTACGAAACGTGTTTGTATGCCATTCTGTACGTTGTTGTTTCCGTTGGTGTTATGTTTTGGTTGTCATACACGTAAGGAGTGTAAACACTTGAAACAACCTATGTCGTTTTAGTTTACCGACTTTGATATATCGATTCATGAAGTCATCATGCATTCGATTTCGAGCACGTGCACGGTTTGCCTGAAGTTGTGAATAAGTTATTTCCACGCGTGTAACTAACCACGTCCTGAAGTTGTGAGGGTGACACAGGTATACACTCCCCTTATATCAATAAATCACAATTTTTAAAGGGCTTAAAAGATACCATTTTAGGACAGGATAGGAATGGCGCAAAGAAGTCGACAAATCAGACTTAACAATGTGCCTGTGTCATTCTTGCCTTTAAAGACTGTGAAGTTAATGAGGTCCGATTCCGCTTCCGTTGCCAATTCTGGTCCGTGCTGGGGTCCTTAGCCAATGGGGTGCCGAGAAAGGGGGAATGTGGGGTGTGGGATGTGGGAGAATTGCATGACTGATAATCTGTCCCTATTTGGGCAATCGCGAGCCTCGTTGCTTCTGACGGTGTGAAGACGATGGTTTAAATAGGACAAGACTCAGTAGGCAATTCAGTGGACCTGAGTCAAGCTTGTCCATTATGGGCGTAGTAGCTTCTTAATATAAACATATATCTCTTGTAAGACAAAAAGATAACCCACATTTCTTGTGAATACCTACGATTAGAGAGCATATCTCCATAGGCGTCGGATTTATTCCCCGCGAGTCCTTATTCCGAGGGATAGAATATATCAGGTAGTATGTGGTCTTTAACAACGATTATTGCCACCTATATAATCATTGTGTGCTAATATACCCATTGTTGAGTAATGGTCATTGTTACTTCACATGAATATTCCCGCTACGGCACATGAAGCCTAACACCGCGCTTCATCGACTTATATGAATAGCCTTCTAGAGGTCTAATTCACAACATCTCCGTACACAATGGCGGCACCGTCTGGACAAACCTCGGAAATCATCGAGATGTCGCTCAACCCAGCCAAAACCGGGCAAGATGTAGATTCGACAGCTAAAAGCTCCAGCTCTAGTGGGAGCATTCACACCACGAATGGCGATGAGGAGCACGGTATGTCGACGCTTGAGAGAATCAAATCGAAGTTTGGAGACCGACCGGAGTGCTTTAAGAACACCTTCCAGGAGATATCCTTCATCTTCCAAGCTACCATAGCAACCGCCACGACATCTTTCCTATCCGGTGTTGCTCTAGTTATCACAGTTCCCGTCTCTCGCGACTTGGGCATGACACAGGGTGAAATAGCATGGATCAGCGCCGCGACGTCGTACGTATAGAATATTTTTCCAAATCCCCAACTAGGTAGGTAGGTTCTACATATCACTAACTTGTTATTATAGACTTGTGGCTGGTGCCCTTCAGCTTGCCTTGGGGCAGCTAGCCGACTTGCTGGGGAGAAAACCCATGTTTATAACTGGTCTGGCCAGTTTCAGTGGATTCGTGTTGCTGGTGGCTTTCTCCCAAAACCCCTTTTGGATGCTGATTGTCTGCGGTATCCTCGGTGCTTGCTCCGCTATGGTTGTTCCTCCGGCCATAGGTATACTGGGCGCGGCCTACGCCACCCCTTCGAAACGGAAGAACTTGGCGTTTTCGGCATTCAGTGCAGGGAACCCGTTAGGATTCGTGTTCGGCACTATCATCTGCGGTATTGTTACTCAACTGAGTAACTGGCGTGCTGCCTTTATCGTCCTATGCGTTATCTGGGCCCTTTTCACCCTTCATGCGATCTGGGCAGTACCTGATGTCGAGAATTTCGATCGAGCTCCTCTGAAAGAACGCCTAAAAGCGCTGAAGCAATTCGATATTGTCGGTACGATTCTGACGATTTTTGGGACGGGCTTGTTTACTGCTGGCTTAACGTAGGTACCCTTGAAACCTTGGGGCCTCGAATACTGACGAATCTAGATTGGGCCCTGAAGATGGTTGGGCAAGTGCGCATGTGATTGCGATGTTAGTTGTTGGCATCGTGCTGCTTGTAATCTTCATCCTATGGGAAAGGGTATTTCCTAACCCCCTGATGCCTCCACACATCTGGAAGGACTGGAACTTTAGCTTTGTGAGTTTTTATCCAGACATACTTGTCCTCTTTAATACTAACAACTGTAGATCATCCCTACTATTGCCCTCGGTAATATGGGCTTTACCGCTAGTTGTTTCTGGGTAGCCTTTTTCTTGCAGGAAGTTAAACAGTATTCTACCCTCATGGTCGCCGTTCATCTCCTTCCTCAGGCTATCGCTGGGCTACTATGGAACGTAGTTGCCGGTCGCATAATGCATCGCATCAACAACACGGTTATTATGATCTTCGGTGCCACCTGCTACCTCGCTGCCAACTTGCTGCTCTCTTTCATAAAGATAGAGACTAGCTACTGGGCCTTGATGTTCCCAGCCCTCATATTGATCGTTGCTGGTGCTGATCTTCAGTTTAACGTGGGCAATGTGAGTTACACTCCTGTGTTTTACATTTTGACAATTCTGACTTTACCAGATGTACGTGATGCAGTCGTTGCCTAAAGATAAACAATCCTTGGCGGGCGGCATTTTTAATGTGGTTATTCGTCTGGCCAATACTGCCGTAATGGGGATTTCGACAGCAATTTTTAGCTCGGTGCAATTGACGCCTGAAGGCATGGCTGATCCGATGCTCAAATTCACCAGAACATTCCAAATGTCTATTGCGTTCTCTGCGGCATGCTTGGTGTTGACCTTTTTTATTCGGCTGGGAACGCAGGGGAACTCTCCGGGCGAGGAAGAAAAAGATAAGAAGAGTAATTCGGAGAACTCCGAGAATCCAACTGCCGTAGCTAATAATGCAGCTGAAACTGAGCAAGGAGAGAAGAAATAGGCGGATATGGTTTATGAAGAATAAAAAATTAGGATTAGAGTCAACTCGTCATTACGAACTTAGGTAGTCGGTACTAAATAAAAGGTTAGGGAGTGCGTTAAGATATGATTTAATCTTGGTATTCCTGCCATTTGATCATCCTATCCTTCAAGTCTAGAACCTCGCCATCAATGACGAACGTGCCATCGCCGCGGTGATGGAACATGCGGCCGCCCTCTCCGGGCTTCTTGTCCGGATTGAGCCACGCCTTGACGGGCTTTAGAACCCACATGGAGTATTTGCTCACCATCTTAGTGTCTTCGACCACGCACTCGATATTCGCAATGACATCGCTGCCGCCTACAAGCGGCGCCTTGACCTTCGCAGCCGGACAGGCTTCCAGCCCGAAGCGCTGCCACTTGCCGCTGGGCTCATCCTCCTCGTCGGCAGAGCAATTCCCAATATCGACGACTACGCTGGCCATTGCAACGTCGGGCACAGCGAGCACGCACTCGCGGTTCTTCTTGAGAGCGGCGAACGAGGCGTCCCAGGGCCCGAGACAGATGCCGATGAGAGGCGGCGACTCGTGTTGCATCACCATGTGGAAGCCGATAGTCATGACGTTATGGGTCTCGTCGGCCAGCGACCCCGTCGTGACTAGCAGCACGGGGCCGGGCTCTATTAGTCGGAATACCCGGGATGGCGGGTACGTCTCGAAGCCATGGTGGAGGTTGCGGTCTTGCGGCTTGGAAGAGGAGGCAGAAGAAGCGGAAGTCTCCACTTCCTCTTTACTATTGGCTTTGCGTTGTTTGGAGGGCGACGCAGAGGACGCTTCGCTCTGCTGTTCTGGTTGGCCTTTACGCTTTGGACCCATGGGTTGTATAAGGCATGTGGATAAGATTAGGTTAGGCAGTTTCCCATGAAGCTTGGAAGCTAGGGAGTTTTCTACATAGAGGTCGCATTAGCTCTGTTCTGTTAGCTTTAGCGGGGTGCCGTCAGATCTGATAACGTTACGATAAGGTTTAAAACGTCGCAAGTGGCCCGTTCGTAACGCCCTTACATGATGTAAGTTACATCAATACATCAACCGAGGTCGGACTAGCCTTTGTTAGCCCTTTTTTCGTCGTCAACATACTTTTTAGAAAGGTGTAATACGGTGGTTATAATAGCGGCGCTTATGTAAAGAACTTCTATCGTAAATGCAGGTTTAGTATACGGTTATCGGAGTGACTCAGACAGTATACAAACAAGTCTTACCTATCATCTTGACTTCGTGTAAATTGAGACAGCTCAGGTTGAATTTGAAGCCTTTGCCCACCTCATATCTGAAAATTGGTTCCCCTAGACATCTATCTATCTTAGTTCATAACTGATCTTTTAAACTCGGTTTACACTACTAATACACCTAGTAATCATGGGGTCTAAGCATGCCTGGAAAGTAGAGGTTCGCTTCACCCTTGGCAATTTACTTACTATTATATTGTATCGGCGCTTATCTCATTAACGCTACTATATTCAACGATACCAATAACAAGTACTGACATCTTTGAATACTACGTAGCTTCTCCCCTGGGACCATTCAAGCCCAGATCATGTACAGAGGATGTATGACCAACGTGTTACTTGTGGGTGGAGGGCTGACGAAGTACCATCGGCAAGTATATCCTTCGTTACATCTTGCTCCATGTTGCCATTCGAGAGCATATACACACCCTCCGGGCACGTCCGAGAGTTATAGATTACCGAGCCGGTTCCCGTAACTTGAGATCGCGCAATGTGATCCGAAAATTTCCGTGAATGGCAACTTCTAATTCTAGATTCTATAGTGGGTAGAGGCTGCACAGAAAGGTGGAAAGATATTTTACTGGGTTGTGAGTTCTATAATCTCCTCTTAGCTTTGTGGTAGCTGATAGATTACCTAGCTCCTTTCGGATGCTTTTCCGGATAGAGAAAAGGTACTCGAGCAGCACACTAGTGCCTATTCGAAGGTATGCTTATGATTGCCCGGCCAATATACTAGATGACCTAAAACCTTGTACAAAGGAGGCAAGCCCGTTGAGGGATACAGCAGCAGAAATTCGGCTCGTCCCGCGGCAGCCAACCATGGTGGAGTTTATCCCTATTGGCCATGTTGCTCTCGATGTCCACGAACCCGATGAGGACATCAAACTTGGCCTTCCAGCTACCGGGACCGTGTGGGTTCATCAACTGTACATTTCGCGGGCGCTCCATGGAGGTGGATTTGGTGCCGGAGCCATGTCCAAAATTGAGACGCTAGCCACGCGAAGCCCAATGAATGCAAAAATAGTAGCTTTGGACACCCTATCAAAGGAAATGCAGACCGAACCAGAGATACGAGACCTCCTATATGGGGAAGGACGTATTCCTCCGCCAGTGGTAAGTCGTGGCAGTATTGTTAGAAGTTGTAGCACTCCTAAAACGTGTTGATGCAGGTTTCCAATGAAGACTGGTATATCGGTCAGGGGTACGAGGTACTTCGACGAGAGAAAGGTGCATACATATGGAACCCGCACGAAGGAATCAGTGCATCCAGTAAGTAGTACATCTTAGTCGTTTCGGGGCCTTTGTGTTACTTCAGAGCATGTGCTGTCGTCCCCTCTCGACCTGATCGAGGGCCAGGGGCTCGTGGAACAGGCCTGACGACTCACATGTGTTTTCCAAGTCTCGGCGTATTTCAGAATTGCTAACACTTAGGACTATAGTGAACCTTGTGTATATGAAAAAGTCGGTTGCTTGAGCAATCCTGGGTTTCGGATAGGTCCAAGGGATATTGGATAGAATGTCACTCCCTTTCTTTAGCCTTGAATTAGCCTCGCGATAGATCGATTGGTCTGAAGCCACGTAAATTGAAATGAAGTCACTCCACAGCGTCTGCTATCTGAACTCCGTGCTTGCATCGCATATACATAGAACAGGAGCAATAGGAGTGGGGAGCTCCGTTGCCGCGAAGGATAATGAGAGGTTTAAAGTAAGCAACCTGAATGCCCTTAGCAAAAGCCTTGGATGGCATGTTTGTCTGCTGCCCAACGGCCATAAGAAATTAGACGCGAGCAAGGTGGCATTGCATCGGGATGAATCGTTCAATGCGCTCCTTTCGCACAGGTAGATAGGCGCGACGTGATAGCTAAGTGGCCGGATATCACACAAATGGTGAAAGAGGTCATGCAGGACAAGTCATCTAGCGGCATCTAGAAAACAGAGACGTGGTGAGGCGACCTCTTAAATGATATAAATGATATGGTCTGAGGTAATTGGGGAAGAGAATAAGTCGTGGGGGTTGATGCTCTAAAAAGGAATCCGGGGGTGACCCGTGCGCTAGCATGGCAGCATGGATGGCAGCGTGGATGCACGGGCCCATATAATAGCCCCACTTAACTTTAACCCGGAAAGGCGTTAAAACATTGCAGACGCGACAGTGACTCGACTACGTGCAGGAGAAGTCGCGAGGCTTCTAAATCAAAAAAGGTCTTGCTGCAATTCCCCACCAGTCAACCATTTCACCAATTCAACTATTGGACCGCCATCTTTCGCCCTCTATTTAGACCTTCCAAGGCCATCTTCATGCCTCACCAGTAAACATTGCGACCCAACCTCGTCGTCGCATTGGGCAGGATGGCGGCATAATACATAATAATTAAGCTCGACCTCTCCGCCTGTCATCCGCCCGATTCAACTACCATCCGTGGTCAAACACGTCAACATTGGGACCACGAAAGATTCACAGCCATTGAACGCGTAACGGATATAGACAGAGCTTACGAAAAGTAAACAAACTTAGCTTATGTGTCTTTCTTTCCGAAGCATCACCAAATCTGCCCCCGTTCAGATGCCGCCAGCCAGCCAGTTCCTAAAGCATTCAAAGACAAAAATGCAAGCTTGGGTCACGAGCAACGGGCTCAATAATAGCCAACCTGCTCCTGCTGGATCTGGGCCAGGAACGGGACATGATGGCCAAAGCCACCTTCCCCAACGCCACGTCTATCTACCTCAACCTACGCCTGCGGCGTCGCAACCCGCCCAGGCGGTACAGGCAACGCAAAATTCGCCTCCACGATCACGCGCACCTATAGTCAATGCAAATTCCAATAGAGCTGCTGCCGTCGCGGCAGCTAAGCTACCTGTTCCTGCTAGTCGTACTGGCCATACCCGAGATACGTCACTTAACATACGGCGATCGGGAACCGTTGCTTCTGAGCCCATTCAATCTTCGCGGCGACCAGCGCCATTCTGGGAGGGTTCGACGGTAGATGGCTCCATGTTTAGCGACACCGCTAGCAATGTTGACGCAAACGCGGCAGGCACCTCTATGTATCGAATGCCTTTTCGGGCGCCCATTACTTACCAACAGAGAGGGAATACCCCACGCCCTCGCCCCCCTGCCAAGGAGGAAGTCAATATGCCGAATCAACATGCCCCTTTCGTTATTGGACCTAACGGGATGATAGATGTAGTAGGTGGTCCTCTTACTAGAAGTGCTTCGACACCGGATGCTAGGAATCACCGTGGCCACCTGAAGGGAGTATCATCTCCGGAACTTGACCAAGAGTCAGAAGATAGTCCATATCAGACGAGCCCAGAAAAGACCCCTTCCGCTAAGCGGCTTCATCATACTAAAGCGTTGGCTTTACGTACTAGCCGTCGTGGTTCCTTCTCCGAAAGGGCTGCCTTTCCTCAAGAAAATATCGTATCTTCGCCTCCACGTGAGGCCTACCCAATTCCTGATAATGATTTAGATGATGATGATGCAATATCTGAACGTTCCGTACACTTAAGAGTGAAGACATTACCAGAACACCAACACCGCCGCTCGACTATTTTTGCTGACACCGATACACCTATGGTTAGCCATCCGAACGAGTCAGATCGCGAGAGTCCTGCTCCGCCTGCGCCTAAGCTAGTCGCGAAACCTAAGCCTCAACTCAATCGACAACTTTTTATCAAAGGTGGTAATAAAGGCGGGCTAGGATTGCACGAGAGCGCGATGCCTCGCTCATCGATAGAGAAGCGTGTTTCTAATCCAAAGAAGCGTCGATACGAGCTTGACTACGATGATGGGGCTCTGGCGGCAATGGACTATTCCGAACTCAAGGATGAAGTATTCGATTTTGACCCAGCCCAAGCAGAGGCCCAGTCGGCGATAGGACCACCCCGAGGCACATTACCAGAGAAACTTGATCACTTTTTTGACAAGGACCAGGAAAGTCAAATGGAGTTTTTTTCTAAGATGCCTGTTAAAGACTGGGAGATCTCTGGGGATTGGTTTCTTGAAAGATTTGGTGAGGTTATGCAACGGTTTAGAGAAGCCCGCCAAACGAAGCGAACAGTAATACAAGACTTCGAGAACGAGATTGCCGACCGGGACGAAGCTGTTAGGAGTAAGATCCGAACAATTGACAGCACTCTCGCCGAACTCAAAAACGAAGGCGAGGGCATGATGAACGGAAAGGAGTTCGATTGAATCAAGTACGCAAGTACGCGGCACCGCAGGCTCTCCGTGACCGATAACTTGCCGCCGGCGGATGTTTACGAACTCATTCTACAGGGAAGGATATACGGCTGTGCGTTAGCTTGGGCTGTGAGGTTGCTGTTATTATAACATGGGCTGGAGCTATGGTGTTTGCGCTTTCAATCCGATACTCTATGTACGGCAACAAATGATGCTATTGGGCCTTTTCACATTAAGTGAGGCTACTTGGTAAGATACCCGCTTACTCGCGTATCAAACGATGACTGTCTGTTTGACTTTTCTGTCTTTACCGACAATTAATCTCAACTGACATCTGGGTTTGTCGGCGAACAGCCCATCTCTCAGCTTGCCGGAAAAAAGTTCGTACGCGGGATAATAGGCATCGACGAACTTGACAACCTGCTCGTTCGTCATACCTGCCCCTCTCTCCCTCCGCAACATGGCTTCCTGCTCTAACCTCCAGTCGTACACCCATTCGGTATCTTCGGCGTCGATGTGGATGAATGCATCGAACATGTCTGTGATGACATCGTAGTCCCGGAGACGCTCATTGACGAAGTTCAGGTGTTCTAAAGGGTGTCGGTGCAGCGTCCTGCTTGGCGAATTCCACTTGAGTGACACCTCTACAGGACTCAAATGCCGAAAGCCAACACACCAGCCTTCGAAGATGACCACCTGAATCTTGGGTTGACCCGGGCCGTTGATCGTCTCCCATTGCGATTCTGGGACCCTGTCGCCTTGGCCCGAATAGGCCGACTTGTCATATTGAGGAATCTTAACCGGCTGACCCTTACATAAAGCCGTGAAGAAATCTCGAGCTAAGTTCATGTCATGTGTACCTACATAACCGTAGCATTAGAATCAAATACCTAAGAATAAATATCCTTCTGACTTAAGATTTTGGGTGCAAGTTGTCGTACCTGGCTCGCCTCGGACCTGGACTAGCAAATTGTCCGGGTGAGACTCTGCCAGTGCCTTTTGATCTTCATGCCGCAAGTAGAAATCATCAATGCTGCAGACTAACGTTTGCAGGCCCTCGTCATTCTGTAGCTTCGAGGCAAGGGCTTTTACCAAAGTTGTCTTCCCGGCGCCTTGCACGCCGTTTAGGCCGATGATAAAGGGCCGAGTAGAGTTAGAGGCGCTATATTGCTTATACCGTTCGAGTATAAATGGTATGCATATAGGGCTCTTGTCGTCGATTATCTCCGCTGTAGACATTTTAGCAGATCTCTTATTGCATCTGTGATGCTTGTGATGCTCGTGATCGGCTGCAGATACTGTATGTTCGGTTATTTGGGCGTTTGACGTTTATTTACCCCAACGGGATTACATGCATGAGATTTCCAAACAGCACGTTTTAAGGATGCATAGATAGAACATTATACATAGAGCAAGTGTCATTAGCATCAGCTCCCCCGGGCTAACTTTGTGGGGATGGGGAAATGCGGGGGAGTTTGTTTTGGTTCAGCAGTTGATGGTTGGGACTATGACTATTTGGATGCATTTAGACCCTCAGTATATATTTGTCTATTTGTCTATTTGGAAGCCGATTTATAGAATCTAATAAATGTCATAACCGATCATAAGCAAGTCTTTAAAGAGAAATACTTGGTAGATTCAAAGTTTTAATCTCCTATAACTAAAGCGGCAATACAAAACTTCGGCTCTTCATGTTGTGTTAACTAATACGGCTAAATGCCTACCTTAGTCAGTAATATTAAAATCTTGGACCCGGCATTACAGAAGACTTGACATGGACATAATAGCACACGTGATGCGTTATACATATAACGTACGCATGACTTCATACAAGATTCGTAAGCATTTTAGAGTCTAGAGTTTGTCGACATGTGAACGGTCTTGTAAAGAAGGCGCGAAGGATAACGGTAAGTGTATGGGGTATGTACCTGAAATACATGTGCTAAATCCGAGGGGCTATACCCAATTTAGTATAGTTGGCTTGCTATTGCCTGGTCCTTTCAAGAAGTGGATCCATCTGGGGCCCCTCGGCATTCCTGGCAGCTCATGCGAAAGCTGCCTCGGCTGAATAGCCGGAATTCAAATGCGGCACATTGACCAGCTCCCGTCTTTATTATCAGGAACTTGGACCTATCATCCCGTAATTAAGCCAGCTTTTCTATCATTAAGTTTAAGTTCTGCTCCCATGCCAATCGGGTATTAGAAGCCATCTCCGACCCAACAACTGTATTATCTACCATCCAAGTTTTCATTTTAATCAACCTCTAATACCCTATTTTTCAGAGCTTCAAAAACACGACACCATGGCAAGCGAATTGCGCTTTGACGACCAAGTCGTTGTCGTCACCGGCGCTGGTGGTGGCTTGGGTAAGGCATATGCTACTTTCTTCGCATCAAGAGGAGCCAAGGTCGTTGTCAATGACCTCGGAGGCTCGTTTAAGGGTGATGGCAACTCAACAAAGGTAAATAGGAGTCTCAGTCATCTTTCAATTACGCCACATATCAAACGTGTCCGCTAACGTGTCTTCTATAACCATCAGGCTGCCGATGTAGTCGTAGATGAAATCAAAGCTGCTGGCGGTCAAGCCGTGGCCAACTACGACAGCGTCGAGAATGGCGACAAGATCATCGAGACCGCCATCAAGGCTTTCGGCCGAATCGATATCCTACTCAACAATGCCGGTATTCTACGAGACGTCAGCTTCAAGAACATGACAGATGAGGACTGGGATTTGATCATGAAGGTGCACGTCAAGGGCTCTTATAAGTGTGCACGTGCTGCCTGGCCGCATTTCCGCAAGCAAAAGTACGGTCGTGTCATCAACACAGCATCTGCTGCCGGCTTGTTCGGTAGCTTCGGCCAGGCCAATTACTCGGCTGCTAAGCTGGCTATGGTTGGTTTCACCGAGACGCTCGCCAAGGAGGGCGCTAAGTACAACATCATCTCCAACGTCATCGCTCCCATAGCCGCGAGTCGCATGACCCAAACCGTCATGCCTCCGGACGTCTTGGAAAACCTAAAGCCCGACTGGGTCGTTCCCCTCGTCGCTGTTTTGGTCCACAAGAGCAACACTAAGGAGAATGGTAGCATTTTCGAAGTCGGTGGTGGTCACGTTGCGAAGCTGAGGTGGGAGAGGTCAAGCGGTCTTCTCCTAAAGGCAGACGACAGCTATACACCAGGTGCCATTCTTAAGAAGTGGGACAAGGTTGTCGACTTCTCAAACCCCCAGTACCCGACTGGCCCCGCCGACTTCTTAGCTCTCCTTGAAGAGTCGATGAAGCTCGGCCCGAACGAACAAGGTGAGAAGTTAGACTTCACCGGTCGTGTGGCCTTGGTCACGGGCGGCGGTGCTGGTATCGGACGTGCCTACTGTCTTGCCTTCGCCAAGCACGGTGCGTCAGTTGTTGTGAACGACTTGGTGGATCCCGATACTGTTGTCGGCGAGATCAAGAAACTGGGCGGTAAGGCAGTCGGTGTCAAGGCGTCTTCTGAGGAAGGTGACAAGGTCGTCAAGGCCGCCATTGACGGCTTTGGTCGCATCGATATCATTATCAACAATGCTGGCATCCTCCGGGACAAGGCATTTAGCAATATGGATGACAGCCTTTGGGATCCCGTTTTGAATGTCCACCTCCGAAGCACATACAAGGTCACCAAGGCAGCTTGGCCCTACTTCCTTAAGCAGAAGTATGGACGTATCGTAAACACTACGTCGACGAGCGGTATCTACGGTAACTTTGGACAGGCAAACTACGCGGCAGCGGTAAGCGACTAAAACATGGAATGGTCAAATGAATTAAGTAAAGCTGACAAGTCTTAGAAATGCGGTATCCTTGGATTCTCTCGCACCATCGCCCTTGAGGGAGCTAAATACAACATCTACTGCAACACCATTGCTCCTAACGCCGGAACTGCCATGACCCGAACCATATTACCAGAGGAACTAGTCCAAGCCTTCAAGCCCGACTACATTGCTCCTCTTGTCCTTGCTCTCTGCAGCGACAAGGTGCCCAAGAACCCCACAGGTTACCTATACGAAGTAGGCAGCGGTTGGTGTGGCCGGACAAGGTGGCAGAGGTCAGGAGGTGTTGGCTTCCCGATAGATGTTAAGCTGGTTCCCGAAGAGGTCGCCAAGAACTGGCCCAAGATTGTCGACTTTGACGACGGCCGAGCAGACCACCCTGAGAAATCCCAAGACTCGGTGGCGAAGATCATGGCCAACATGGAGAACAAGCGAGGGGCATCTAAGGTATGATGAGCCCTCTTTCTTTAATGTCCTCCTATTCGGACTATCATGTATATATATGTGTAATATGTTCTAGTCTAGCAAACAAATGAACTATTGATGTTGACTTTTTATTTTTTTTTGCTCAGGCTCCCTCCGAGAGTAACAAATATCTCGAAGCCCAAAAGAATGCTTTGGCTGCCAAGTCCCAGCCTACGGAGTACACCTACACGGAGCGCGACAGCATGCTCTACAACCTAGGCGTCGGCGCCAAGAGGACCGAGCTACAGTACGTATTTGAGGGCGACGAGAACTTCCAAGTGCTACCGACGTACGGCGTGATCCCGCAGTTCGACACCAACATGCCGTTCAGCATGGACGAGCTAGTACCCAAGTTCTCGCCTATGATGCTGTTGCACGGCGAGCAGTACCTCGAGGTCAAGAAGTACCCGATCCCGACGGCGGCCCGGACCAAGAACTTCGGCAAGCTGATCGAGGTCGTGGACAAGGGCAACGCTGCTATCCTCAAATACGGCGTCACCACCGTGAACGCCGAGACTAACGAAGAGCTCTTCTACAACGAGGCTACTGTCTTCTTGCGAGGTTGCGGAGGTTTCGGCGGCCAGAAGAAACCGGCCGATCGAGGCGCGGCTACGGCTGCTAATGCCCCGCCGAAGAGACACCCGGATATTATCGTCGAGACTAAGACGACCGAGGAGCAGGCTGCTATCTACCGACTGAGCGGCGACTACAAGTGAGTGTTTTTTCTTCTTTTCCCATCCTAATCCTCCCCTATATCTCTGTCTACCACCAGTCAAGCCAAGTATTCAAGACTAACCACATCGCAGCCCCCTCCACGTCGACCCGAGCTTTGCCAAGATGGGCGGGTTCAAGGTGCCGATCCTGCACGGGCTATGCTCAATGGGCGTGGCGAGCAAGGCCGTCTACGAGAAGTTCGGCCCGTTCCGCAACGTCAAGGTACGCTTCGCCGGCACCGTGCTACCTGGCGAGACCCTCGTCACCGAGATGTGGAAGGAGGGCCCCGCCAAGGTCGTCTTCCAGACCAAGGTTAAGGAGACGGGCCGCCTGGCTATCTCCGGCGCTGCGGCCGAACTCGTTAGCGGCGGAAACGGCGGGAAGTTGTGAATCCGCCTGGGAGAAGGGGTTGGCTGGTTGTGGTTATGGGTGGGGGATTTAGTGGCAGGAGGATGGGTGTATGAGTCCGGATGAGATGAGATGAGATGAGATGATATAAGGGAGCATTAATTTTTTAGCATTGGGAGTTCTCCTTTTTCCGCTTTTCTTGGTTCGTCAGATCGGGCGTCGCTGTAAAAAGATGATGTACGAGTATGTACATAGCTTAACTTGGGTTAACAGCGACATTTTCAGTTTGAAGTGGAGGAATCCGCGCATGAATACAAGTATGTTATACTGATAAACTGAGTATTATGTAGTTTGCCTAACAACTTTGCTTAGCTGCCTCGAGATTCGGCGGGTTGTAACCTATTTGTATGCACGGCGTACGTCTACTTGTAAAAAACTTGGGTACCTATTCACTCATGTTATGCTTAATCTAACCATATCTCAGAAGTATGCCTATTTAGTCGTATTCTTATATTTTAAACGTGTATTCTCCCATAAGTTCAGGGGTATAAAATGGAATATGGATATATTTACCATCACTCTCGACATCTATGTCAGCCTCTTGGTATACATCGACGACGTAGTAATTAACATCCTAACCTAACTTGAACTATCCTAAATAGATGGATATTCTATAAACATAGGGGCTTCGGCGACAACAGCAGGCCTTAACAATAAGAGGTAGTTATGTCAAAATAATAGCTACATCATCGTATACAGTAGTGTTACTAGAGGCCGTAGCCTGTGACAAATAGTTGCATGTACGATACTACTAATGGGTATAACATACAAATGGTCTCCTATCCCTTTCCCTACCATACGACCGATATATTCTCATACGCCCGTTCCCAATGCGAGGTTCACTTTCGAAATTTGACTTCAAAGAGAGGTTCAGTCGATAACCAGATAATGCTCCTTTTTTACCAAAACTCCGTGCCCAACCCGATCCGTTCCGCTATACAAACAAGGTCTCTATAATAAAATCACAGAACTCTTCAATGCTCGGGACCTTACCGCCCGGAAGCAGCCATGCCAGACTCTTGTCTCGACTAAAGCTGCCTACACCATCTTCGAGATACGCCTTCTCCGCGTCAGACAGTTCACGTCTCTCGGATGCTCTCCATTTCCGTTCTGCTTCGATCTTAGCTTTTCGAAGGATTTCCTCGGTATTCTCAGCTTCCCATAAATTACACTTGCTACATTCGCCACATTGTCGACCATCGCCCTCGGGCCTAAAATGTTGACAAAAATGCTGGTAGCCCTCATTTGGAGTACCAATGTTTTTGCGACAGACATAGCACATCTTATAGCCACAGGGACAGGTCAGTTTGTTGCATCCAGCTGTCTTGACGAAGGAGGTGCTGCATCGGGGGCAGACACGCTTGATCGCCATAGACATCGCCTGCTCCACTTGAGTACGTAGGGCGACAAGAGACGACTCGTGGCAGACGTGAACATCCACCCACGCCTTCGAACATGATAAACAAGACGAACGTCGGCAGGTTGGATTCTGGCAGTTGAATTTTAACCCGCGACGGCGACGCTGGTACCTTATGACGGCCGCTCCTAATTGCCAAGACATATAATCCCTAAACGAACGATTCAAGCACAAAATAGCAAAGGCTAACGCTAATATGAGAATGGGAAATAAAAGAGGAGATATAATCAAGCAAATGAAGATGATGATAAAGTTTGGAATATTGCTGACACGAATCCTGGGCCTGGATATGCTGGCTGGCATATATAGATCGTCGACTTCGGCGTAGGTGCAAAAGGGACATCGAACCAAAGGCAAGCCACTGGACAAAAGACCATGCTCTGCTAGTCGTTGGTCAAGTTTGCGTATAATCTCATCTCCGTTTTTCTCCCCTTGCATAGCTCGATGTATGTGCTCGGGAGATACGCAGCTTTCGCACTCTACCGACGCCACAGCAGGGCATCGAAGAGCACCTGTTTCCTTCTCGATGCTACGTTGCCATCCCTGCCCAAAAACCGCTTCGGTGATGGAATGGCGTACGCAGTTAAAGCAAACTATATGCCCTTCGGCAGTACAGGTGGTAATCTCTTCGAAAATCACATCCGAATAACAGCAACTGCACTCAAACATGGCTTCGTGAGCTTCGGCGTCCTCTGTAAGTAGGGAAACGGCCATAGCGCGGTCCCTTTCCTCTCTCAGTAGTTGCTCGCGTTCTTTCAATGGTATTATCAACTCTTCAAACAGCTCTCTATCCAATTCGGCACTACCAGTTGCCTTTAAAGTCGGGACCATCAACCCATCGTCCGCGGATTTCCATATGATAAGGGGATGTGTCTCGGCCTCGGCAGAAGTCACAGGCTTGCGACGAAAGAAGAAGGAAGATATAGTGAACTTCCACGTCTTGGAAGACAGGTCCACGAGGGTCTGTCGCGCGTCGAGATACGAGTAGTTGAACTCGGATAAAACTGCGTCAATCGAGGATCTAGATAATAGACCCTTAAACTCTTGCGCCGCTAAAGTACGCACTGCCTTCTTGTATTCCGCCGTTCTGAATGCCTCGGTTCGCGAGACTGGAGCGTTCGAGTCCGAGCCGGTATGCTCGCTAGCTCTCCGCCGCCCCTTAACGAATTCACCAGGGTTCTTTAACAACTTGTCCGTGATGATGAATAATCGCGACTCTTCGGAAAAGGATGCAAGCATCTCTCTGAAGACTTCGACTTGGATATCGGGAAAGAGGGCAGCGAGCCTTTCGAGGTTCTGGTTTAGATCGAGTACATCTGGCGGCGGTTGGCTAGCAGGCTGGATTTGCGACTCGTCGGAAAGATACTCAGGAGCAGAGGAAGTAAAGTTTCGGGGACGCGACGGGGAGACATCAGGAGAACGATGGGATTGCTTGGACCTGCTTGATTTAAAGGAACCCCTCCGTCCAGACGAGGCACCGAGTAAGCTCGAAAGAAACATTTTACGTCGAGCCAAACGAAACTATGTCGAGCGAGTAAAGCATCGTCGTTTATGGTAGTTGAGCGTTGAGTCTCGACTGGAATTTAAAAAATATATATGACAAGGGGGGGCTTGCTATATGTAGTATCGGAGGTATGGATTGGGAAATTTGTTATTCACGGACTCAAAAGAATCAACGAAGGCGCATAATATAAAAGTAAAAATATAGGCGTCAAAAAAGAAAGACAGCTGACTAGTTGGAAGAAATGGTCTAAAGGTGGTTTGAAAGTGGTGCAACTTGCAGCTTAAAAGAAGTCACGTTAGGTAAATGCAAATACAAGTTACAAATGACAAGTACGAATGACCAAGGAGAAATACATACTTCGTACATTTTTTATTACGTATGGCCTCAATCTTGGAGAAGTCCACCCTTCCAAGGCTTGCGCTTGCCCAGACTTCCAGAGCCAGGGTCCCCGTGCAGAAGGGTCGGATGCTACTCCAATCCGGAGCATGTTACGAAATAAAGCTACCATATTAAGTTAGTTGCACAGGCAACTTCACACTTTACGAACTCAGCAGAACTTAACAAATTTATATAGACCCACACTTTCTTGCTTTAGATATATGTAAACAAACACAAAAACTAGGAATTCCATCCAATCATAACAAAAACACGGCTCAATGGTCCAGTGGTAAGATACTCGCTTCGGGTTAGCTATGCTCTACTCCCGGTCTCTTTTAAAAGGGATTGAAAATGTGAGTGGTCCCGGGTTCGAATCCCGGTTGAGCCCGTTTATTTTTACATGATTTACATTTGATGTATTAATTCGATGCAAGATAATTTTTTGTGATTTTTTTCTGTCTTGAAATCATTCTCTGAAGTGGAAATATTGAATATTGGATTGTAACTATTTTATGGAACATATGTTACATCAACTTGGACACCTCCAAATCTCCAAATTTGCTGGGTGAGATCTGATTGGCTCGGTCAAGTCTCCTTAGCACCTCCTATTACACGTCTTACGTAATTGTACGTCTTTCGTAGACTCCCGTCAACTCTATTTGGTTCTTATTTGGTTTTTAACTTCTTCCTAGAATAACTAGACGTCTCATCTAGAATCCTAACAAGGACGGCAGAATAAGATCAATCTAATAGTAATTCTCAGCTAATTAATCCGCGAAATTATTATTTCCGGTGTTTTCTATGATTGAGTGAGCTTGTATAAAACGCTTTGTCCTTCCCCAAGCTGCACAGTCAACCCCGAGCTTTCAGCCCCTAAATCATTATTAGCCCATACATCATGGACCTCAAACCCCCCACTAATCCCGAGGTCGTCCCATGATACCATAATAGTCTGCACGCCCGACAATGAAGTCCCAAAACCGCCTTGGCCTTCGTCTGGGCCGTAGTTAGCGATTACCACCACGGCGACCCCTGACGCGTCTGGCCCAGCGATCCACGCCTGTAACTGTTGAGAGCCGGGGAGGCCAGTTCCCGGGTTACGGGGTTGCATCGGGTGGTGGGAAGTAAAGTCAGCAATTGCAATAGCATCTGGATTCGTCAAGAGATTGAGCCCAAAGGTATCAAGGTTGGTTAAATCAGAGCCGATGATAAGGTTGGCACCGGCTCCGAGCCAATGTGTCATGATAGTCTGGCGCTCGTCATCTGTCACGCCTGACACCGAGGCAGGATTACCTACGAACAGGTTATCCATGTCGGGGTATATGGTTAGAGTTGTATTATACACCATCACGGTAGTAATGTACTGTCGGTAGTTGTCGATGGCCCGCTGGACAACTTCCCAAGAGACAAATGTTGACTCCCCGGAATTATTGATGTCCTGGTCGGTGCGCATAGAGTCGGCATTCGTCTCCCAGATGTCGAAATACTCCTGTGAACGGTCCAGCTTCCACGAAATATCCAGACGTATCTCCCGTCCCGACTGTGCAATAGCTTGGTGATACGCAATGACCTCGCCACTCAAGTCAGGAGGCAGGTTTGCGCCGTTTGATGGTGACCCCGGCGTTACAAAATCAAGCTTGATGAAATCGACGCCCCTTTTACTCGAGTATTAGCTTCAAACAGCTGGGTTTTATCTTCGATCTGGAAACTTACCAAGAAGCGAATTGGTTCACAACAGAATTGTGCCATTCTTGAACGGCCGGTTGAGAGTAGTCAAAATTGCAGCGGGCTAAGCCGTTATCGCCGGAGCATACCGAACCAATAGTGACGCTCGTCCCAAGGATAGTTTTGGCCTCGTCGGCAGTGAAAGCTCCGGGCACAACGTACACGCCGAGGAGTAAGTCTTCGGCGTGTAAGTGGTTGGCTAAGCTCGGAATATCAAATATAGACGAATCATAAATGATACGTCCGAACTCATCGCCATTGCCACCTACAGACCATCCAGAATCGAGACTGCAATATACATATCCGGCGTCTTTAAGTGTAGTGGTTTGAGCGAGTACGTCGCATTGGCTTATCACTCCAGTCTGGTTGAATGAAAAGCCCGGCGTTGTATTGGGGTTGGCCTGTATACCGAAAGAGTTCCATCCCCTTGGTGAACTCGTGAAGCCATTAGGAGTTGTTTCGATCTGAACGACATTTAAGACGGGCTCAGACGCAGCTAAGGCAATAACAGCCGTCAAAGTGCCACTCGCGGCTACTAAAATAGAGCGTCGGGGTATCATGATAAATTAGGATAGTGAGTAAGTCTCGACACTGTCTGGATAGATTAGAGGTGGTATCTGGATATTAAGCCGCTGCTTAAAACCCGTGCCTTTTAGTGTCCTACGATGGTCGATGAGCTATCACCGGGTAGCCGGCAATGAGTTCTCCTAGGATGCGGAAGACCGGAGCAAAGTATCGTGACATATCCCATGATAGGGTTGATCTTGTGAGGCTCACGCTTATGATGGCGGTCGGCGGTAGGGGTTTATCGCCAGCAATGGCCCCCCTTTTAGCTGGCGTCAGCTTCTGACTACTATTTACGGACAAGTTGTGGATTCAATGTAACGGCATAAGTAAGCTATTGGCTAGATTGTACGACGTGAAAGACAACTTTTCGTCAACGTATGTTGCAATTCCAAATAAAAGCGCAACCATCAATGATTCAATACGAGGTTATGAGATTTTAGCCTTTCATGGGAGATTATACGAACTTGATGGTTACCTACACATACATAATGACTTTGATAGGAAATTCAGTTAAGTAAGATATTGCCTTGTGCGACTGTTGTACGTTGCACGAGACTAGCAGTCTCAATACAGATTATAACTCTTCCCCTTATAGCCGAAGCCTGTGACTGGCTTACATCTTGTCTTCATTGGGTTGCGGCGACCGCTTCCTATCTCAAACAGAAGCACGGGTTACAAGCACCATACTTGCAGTTGCTGTTAACAATTGCCTGTTTTAATATATATGACGAAGAAAAACTATGTAAATTAGCTTGTGGTGGAATATCAGGGCCCCTGGTGAAATGCTCCTACAGATTTTGATTGTATTTTAATGGTATAAGTGTGGTCAGCATATGTCCGAACCTGTTAATTAGCTTAGATTTTCGGGTCATCGGTGTTATACCGCAGTGAGAGGGGGGGATTAATCTTTCATGGAGGCTCAATTTGTAATATGTATCAATTTGTAATCTATATCTATATCTTCACAAGCGCTTTCAGCCTGCCGTTTTATTCCCGGTTGAGCTTAGATGAGCGGAGGACCAACGGGGACATCGGGAAACACTCGGCATTGTAGATGATAGCGGCTAGCATGGATGATATCAAATAACCTTCAAGTCAACCAAATGTGTGTTATTAGGGACGATTAAAAATAAGTTGTGTCTACCTATGATGTACCTACCTAGGAGGTAGGTAAAGGGGGTTCTCGGAACTAGACACTTTGACTGAAGACCAGTTGCTCACCCCACCGCCTGGCCGTGAGTTCAATAATTGCGTAGCTAAATACAATCGAGCACCTTTTCTTATGAGTTTATTTATTTATTCTGAATGTACCTGCGAAGTATATAGTAGATGATGCTTCTATGAGTCCTTACTCATCTACAATCCTATCTTCACCGCTACACCATGTGGTCTGGCTTGAACACTTTTAAATGTTACAAATCATCTATTGCACATGATGTAGATATGGTGTGGTGGTATTTCTGGGACTACTGGGATAGGGTAACTTGGCTGAGAATAAGATATATAGACCCTTTTCAACCGCCCTTCTATGATCCAGTTTGATAAATAAGCACCACTCTCAGAATCTACTCTAAATAGATCGGCCACCAAGGGATCTTCCATACATACCTACTTACTATCCAAACCATCATCATGCATTTTTCTCTTCTCGCGCTCCCCTTTGCCGCCCAGGCTTTCGCGGCGGCATTGGCAACTCCTGGGCAGCCTGGAAATATTGCGGAGCGAGATGCTGCTAAAGGAGAAATCGAGTCGCGAGACAGCGGGTTCCAGATCAACTACTATACAGACGGTGGCTGCTCCTCTTTCCTCGTCGCTGTCTTCCCGCCCACCGATGGTAGCTGCTATGACTACTCATACTCTGGCGACAGTAGCGCCAACATCGCTAACTGTGATGCTACGGGGGACTCCAGTTGCTACTGTAACTTCTATGCGCAGTCAGGCTGCCAGGTAAGAGACTGAAAATCTAATCTATATTAGATTAAATATTACTATGAATAAATAAACAGTCTAACAGCTTTATAGGGCGCAGAGCAGGTTATTGGGTACACCAGCGACGACTGTGCCTCAAACTATGGTCATGGTTTCCTCTCCATGGCGTGTTACTATTAAGAGTTAGGATAGTATAGCAGTTGAGATGTTGATTCTCTGCAGGAATAGTCTAGGTGGAGGAATAGTCTAGGTGGAGGACTAGTCAGGGGCTCGCGGACGCTCTTTCGATGACGGTACCTGACTATGGTGGTTGTTCACGGCGTCACTCGTTTAAAAAGAAAGGTAACGAAGGGTTGCTATATTATGATATATTGCTGTCTTGGTCATTGAACCAAATCGGAAGGACACTATCAACTTCTTCAAATGTCTCGAGAGCAATTGTATAACAAGTCTAGCTTCTATAGAAAATATTTTTGTGGCAAATATTGTCTCTTTATTGCTTCATTTTCTTCGCTCGGATACTGTCAGATATGCTGTAATAACATAAACACTACACTATTGCGAAATTACCTTTTAGTAGTGTAGTGGTATGTTCGATAGATACTGCTTCCGCTTAGAAATTTGATACAGCTCTCGTCTAACCTAATACGGTTTATCTCCCTGGATATATTGGGATAATTAGGTACCTAGTCATTTTTATAATGTCTTAAATGTGTTTCTTAAAGCGTACCTATGCATACTGTACGGCCCCTTTCCGATTATCGAAACTGGCTGAAAGAGGGGGGACCTTTTGGCTCATTGGCCTAGGTAGGCCTCAGAGAAGACAGCTACAAGCCCCTATAACATCAAACCATATCAGCCCATAACATTCCTAGATACATAGGTAGGTACCTATATATAGAAATAGCTCTATAATATAAACTCATCTTTAACTAATTCCCAATGGGCAAATAAAACCGGTTTGCACTTGAATCGGATAGATATTTTGAAATACCTAAGGTTATGTCAGGCTACTAAAGACGCTGACCTATTCGGGCGTATGGATATGTCTTATCTGTCCCCCCATTCCGGTAAATGTCGTCTCCAATTTAAGATTACGACACTTGATATGGAATGTCGTATTCGCTTAGTTTAAACCTCCGCTCTGTACTACGTGAGGCAATCTACGTATAAGAAGAGATGATTCTTCGGAAGATGGTCTTAAATATAAGCCGATTGATGAGCCTGACAACTGTCGGTACGAATATTAAAGTAGAAGTTTCATCTAAATATCTCCATCACGCTTCTACTTCACATATTATCTCGCCATGGCTTCTGCTCTAATTTCAAAGCCTAGCACAAATATTACGGTCAAAGAATTTGGCTTTTCTGCCCTCCAGGGTGTCGACTGGTCGAACTATCTGGCCCACCGCCCAGCCTATCCGCAATCTTTTTTTGAGCGCATCTATAACTACCATGCCCAAAAGGCCGGGGTAGCTTGGTCCGTAGCTCATGATATTGGCGCTGGCTGTGGAGTCGTCTCTTCAGTCCTTGCTACTCACTTCGACAACGTCATTGTCTCGGATCCTAACGACGGATATACTAAGCTCGCCCGAGAATTTCTGGTTGAAAAGTCATTGTTCCCCGAGTCCAAATTCAGGTTTCTTCAAGAAACTGCCGAGGAAAGCTCAGTTGAATCGGGTACTGTCGATCTGATCGCCGCGTGCGAGTGTATTCATTGGACTACACCGGACATTGCGATCAGAGAATTCGGGAGGCAGCTCAGAGCTGGTGGCACGCTTGCGATCACATACTATACTCGCCCGCTTATTGAGGCAAACGAGCGGGCTGTAAGAGCATGGAAGGCTCTCTGGGATGCCTTTTCGAAGAAAGTTCAAAACAGGACAAGTGACAACGCTTATAAAATAGCCAATACTGCACTTGAAAGCTTAGAGTTCCCTGAGGAAGATTGGGAGGGCTTGAAGAGGATATACATTAATGCTCAGGGGACTCTCGACGGTTTCATGCTAGATGACAGAAGAAGTGAAAGTAGGGTGAAGGAAAGTGAGGAGAAAGTCTGGGTAGAAGATGATGATTGGTGTGATATGTGTGGCATCGAGTGGCTCAAAGGCTATTTCGCTACCTGGGAACCGCGCATCCAAGAGTCCGAAATGCAGGACATTTGGGATGAGTTAGAGCTTGCTTTGGAAGGGAAGCAAGTCAAGACCAAGACACCGAATGTGATGATTTTAGCCACAAAGAGGGCATAAAAAGTATATGCGATGCTAACGCTAGGTAGAAGCTAGATGCTAGCACTTAAGCAACCGCGTGAAGAGGTAATAGGGTTGGTTCTATATAAGAGGGGAGGGGAACACGGTGTCTTTGGGGCCTCGTAAGTTCTGCTAGGTATAAAATACGTAGGTACGTAGTAGTCTAAGGACCGGGCAAGATAACGTATATAAAACTAGATGTTTTCACCAATATCAAGGATATCACCCCATCCTCCTCTCAATTTTCTTATCATTTTGAGTCTCTTAACTCTTCTCTCCACCTGTTTGTACGTTCTTCCTCGGAGAGGGACACAGTCTCAGTCCAGAAGCAAGAATCCATAAAATTATTAGCTGGAATTGAGATGACGGTTCTCTGATTGTAAATTCTGAGTGTTGGTCAATAGTCGGCAATAGTATTTCTAATTTACGACCTGAGCTAGATTGCCTCGTTGAAGGCTCTCTTGGAGAAAGTAATGTCAATGATACTCTCTCAAGATCTTGTAATTTTATAGGCTCTGAAGAGCCTAAGCTGCATGGAATGGGCGGTGGATCATATTTGAATCGATTATCCTCTTGTTCGTCGTCCGGTTCTCCTACATCCAAGATCTCGTAAGGCAAGTTGGCACCCGAAGAATTCTTGAGAACTTGAACGAGTTTTGCCTTCTTTTTGTCCATTTCGGAAGGTATGTTTTTAGCTAGTTCATCAAGGGGTGTTGGAAGTCGTAAATGTGTAGCTACTCCTTCGAGACATCCGCTAACTTGAACCCGCATAAAGAATGGCTGCCCATCATGCTCGAATGCGAATGCTGTATGAAACGTATTGTCGTATCTTAGTTGATTATCAAGGTTGCTCTCAAGAAGACGCCATTCAAGAATCGTAGGTCTTGCCAATTTGTTAGGCGTTGACGAACTTGAGAACTTCCATTGTTTCATCGAATCTCGTCCGACACCACCAGCTCCAACAATGCCCCCGACTTCTACGTGAGGACTGAAAGAATGTCTCGTAATAGCGGCTCGGTAAAGGTCAAGTCCAGATAGATTATGCCACCCGGGTTCTTTTCTGGAGTTAAAACACCCTGGATATATCCCACTTAGATTGAGAATCCGGATTGGAAGGTAGATCAAGGGGCTCCCGATATCGAAGCGCCAGTAAAAATGGCAATCAAAACATCGCAAATTCTCGGCAATTATCAAACAGAAGTAAAAGCTCTTCAATTGCTTATCATATTCTCTGCAAAGCCAGCTCAAGAATGTGAAGAGCTTGGTAACTTACAGAAGAAAACACAAGGAGATATCTTGCATTATACAAAAACACCAATTTCAAAATATCTAATATGCGATACCGAAGCCTCAAGAAGTGACCTCAAAAAGGAGATCTCGGAACTACTTTCTATTCCATTATTGCATACTTACATAGGATACCTACAAGGCTGGGCTCTTTGGATGCTACAGCATGCCCTGGAAAGCGATGAATTAGGAGCTAAGAAAGCCTTGCATGAGGCCGATGCAATCTATGGTCGACTTGACGGTGCGAATCGAGAACTAAACGATGAAAAGTTTTATACGCAACACCGTCTTTCTCCAAAGAACACAAAGCCCCGAGCACTCAGCTTCGACGAAGGGGAATCACAGGTAAGGAAGAACGGCTTCGCTTCGATGGAATGAGTTACTGGTCTGACACCTCAAAGGCTATAGTTAAACGGCCTAATGCTAGCAAGTCAAAGGAGACAGCAGGAATGGGCTCAGAAAAGGCAAATATCGGGCCAGAGACGGATTGGAGGAAAGAATCATTTAGTTATAGTGAGTATTAATCATATAACAGGTACACATCGTTAATGTATTAATGCTAATACTAGATTAGAACCGATTATGCCAACAGTAGAGAGCACGGAGGATTTGAGTGAATATGGGACGAAGGTTCAAACACCCGCCCTTCAGTTTGAATAGACGTATTTTTCATACGAGGTACTGTCCCCAGAACTTCTGTTCAATGTATTCTCCCCTAGTTTTCGTTTGCAACGAACTTGTTACCTGGGTACCTATTATTTATTATTGTGATATAGGGGCTGTTTGTCAGCCACATAGAAGAAGGATTACGCACTCAAGCCATGCAAAATAAGCCACATTCAATCCAAGCACACAGTGCGGTAACATAGCGTCATACATTACCCACCATGCAAATACCTACCCGGGTCCTAGCGCTAGAATTAGCTTGCCCCAACCCTGTACCCGTCCCCAACGAGGAAGGTATGAAGTAATACTTTGTACTGTCTTTTTTTTTCGGTACCCACCCCCGGACTCAGCTCACACGACGCCCCATTCATTTCATTCATCATCAACTTTCCTGCAACCTTACGATCCATACATGCGCGCTTCTACCTAGCCTCCTAAAACCGAGTCTTCTTTTATATATCTACCTAACCTACCTACCTCTATTTATTTCAAGATTTCCTTATTGTTATTTCCCTTCCACGTACGAAAAAAAAGGGAAAACGAAAAATCAGATCCAACATGTGTACCCCGGACCTGTTCCTCGGCCTTCTGGCCATTCTATTCCCCCCTCTGCCGGGTACGTCATCCCCCCCAATGAGTTCTTGCCCCCCCCCCTCACCCACGAGCCCTCGTTATTCGTCTGCCTTGCGTGGATAGGCAATCCATCTCGCAACGACCACGAACAGCCATCAACTACTATTGCAATTTAAACGCCGATTGCAATTTAGAGGCCAATAGCTAACGATGTAATAATTAATAGTCTGGGTTAAAACCGGTCTCTGCTCCGCCGACTCCATCATCAACATCCTGCTATGTGTACTAGGCTACGTAAGTCCCACCATACCCTACCATACCCACGACCCACGATATCCATCCACACGCATACACTATCCGCATCAATCTCAACCTCAATCTCAACTCTAACCATCCCACAGCTCCCCGGCCTCATACACGCCTGGTACATAATCTCCAAATTCCCCGAGTCATACGAGTACGAAGCCGTGCCGCAAGACGGCGAGCGCGCCCACGTCACCTACGTCTTTGTGCAAGAGCCTCAGCCCCAAGCCCGCCCTCAGGCCCAGCCCAAGTCTGCCTCTAACTCGCAGCCAAACTACGGCGCTACCGACAACAACAACAACCACAACGCCTCTTCTTCGTCTGCTGGTCCCTCCGACGAGGGCCACGCCCCACCCACCTACGCCGAGGCCGTTAAGGGCGACCACAAGATCCAGACCCATGACTAGATGTCCTACGTGTTGTCCGCCGCGCCGGTCCGGCAGTCGCGATGGTGCTTGTGGATGGACCGGTATCCCGGGGGGCTCTAGATTCTAGGGCTACTCTTAGGGACTCAGCTAGAATATCTACAGGAAGACTTTGCATAGCGGGACTCACTGCGGATTTATCAGATGGGAGAAGGATGTCTTTTTAGTATAGGAGTTGGAGGTAGGACTGGCTCGGACTGAGCAGTGTTTTGCGTTATGCCATGTTTCGACCATTCGACGAGGGTTCTCGGGAGTCCCGGGTTCGTCGAGATTTCTTCTCTGGTGGTATGTAATACAACAATATTGTAAAAGAGTAATTTATCGTGGTTCAACGAGAGATATTTTATGATAATAATATATTCCGTCTACAAGTGATACTCAACTAACCAACGGCTTCTTTATATCCATCTATCCCCGTTATCGTCATCAACCTCGCTCCTAGCGTTGCTCGGCCCGTCTCTACTTTTCTTCCTTCTGCCATGGTATACGCAGATCCCCGTGCCGCCGGATGCGTGCCTCTTGTTAGCCGGGCACATAGGACTGTTGGGCAGATGCTCCGGCATGTCAAATTCGAAAGCGCCGTGTGTCACGGTTTCGTGTCGGTTTAGAGCTACCGGCACCTCCCACCACTCTTTGCTCGAGCCGCTCTTCCTCTTGTCTCTCTCCTGCATATCCCGGTCCTATACAGTATTACGCTCGGGAGTAAGAGGGGAAAGAGGTGCAGGGCAGCGAGAAGGTCCAGGCTCGCTGTTACTATTACTGCCGCTTCCGTGGTGAACCGGTGGTGCTGAGATATCGAAGAAGAAGGACTGTAGTTTGCAAGCGTGATGGCCGCTCCCGCGCAGGGGGGGTGTCTGTATGCGAGTTGCCTCCTAATTGTTACCTAGGTAAGCGAATTGAGTGTCAATACGAATATTATAGTCGTCAGACTTACACCGCCAGGGAACTCCGCGCAAAATGTATGCGCCGGTTCTATATAAATCTGTTAGTCAGTCCGTCTCTTACTTGCCTAGTCTGCTTGTCTCTATCCTCCTATCTGTTCTTCTATATATTGTAATCGTCCTAAAAAATTATAGAGGTCTCAGAGATACACACCAATATACGAAACCGGGCTCGTGACAGGTGTCCGGCCCCGGAGCACGCCGCGGATGGAGCTTGAGGTGCTCACGTCGGATACGACGGAAGCTTCACGGTGCCAGGGACTCTTTCCGAAGAGTCTAAATGAACGCCGCCTCTTGCTCTCTTCGCGTAGTAGTGATGCTGCGCGACCCATGAGCGGCGCAGGCGACTGACTTTGACCGTAACCCGAGAGCTGTGCTTGTGTACCCGGCACCGTGCTTGGTGTATAGTCGTATGCGTCATTGTCGCTGGACATCTTCTTGATTTTCTACATTGATCATGCAATGTACTTGTCAGTGCCCTGGCATGCTTGAGAATGAGAGATAGGGGTAGTTATATCGAAACTCAAATATGTTCCCTCGACTTACTGGCCTATGGTCCGGGAAAAGCCTTGAAAAGAACGACTTCCTGGGCTTAGCGTCAGGCGTAGTTGTAGTTAAATTGATGATAGACGAAACCGAAGCCCCCGAAGTGCTTGGCAGCCGGCTTACAGGAGTTGCAAGGGGAGTAGCAGAGTCCGAGTCACCACTTATTATTGTGAGTGGTGAGCTTTGTATCGGTCTGGCCGGCCCGGAAAATGAAATACCATTTTCGCTACCTTGAGACAGTTGGGGCGACCTTTGTAAAGACTGGACGTGGGCTTCTTCTGTCAGATAGGGGCTGGGTAGTGTCGTTCGATTAAGCGGGAACATAGACTTGCCGCTCTCGCTGCTCGTGCCATTGCGGTTGAACGATAGTCCCTGAAATGACTGGTTATGGCTGTCCTCGCTGGGGAGGGGGCTAGGTAAAGGCTGGGAAATCCTTGGTATATGATCCCATAGATTACTGGATGAATTCTCCAAACCATCTTGAGTATCCCAGCCAGAACTACTCTTGCCAGAGCGCTTTCGCCATTTGAAGTGCCTCATGACCTTTCCGGGACTCTCAGCGACTTCGCGCTCGGCCCAGTATCCTGCTGGAAACCAGACCCATTCACAGCCTTCTTTGGCCGGCCGCGGCGGATCAATATACGTATTCGGTGTGACCGGCGCACTCTTGTATGACTCTTTCACAATTTGCCGTCCAGCGGGGTGCATAGTTGGTACTGATGATGATGGTAGCCTGCTCGTTGGTCCGTCCATACCGGAGATGCTGGGAGGTCGCTATCGACTGGTAGTACTCCGGTGAGACCATTCTGATGACGAGCTTCTATCTTCGGCGCTGCCTCCCATAGCGAGGAACCGGGGCATTTTTAAGGGGTGGTGATGAATAATAGTCATTAGGTCTTGTCACTTTAAAGAGTTAATTTTATGCGAGGGTGATAAAAGATCCATTGTCGATATAGGAATTTCGATCATGTGAAATACGGCTTATAGGTAGGACTATACCAAGGCCAACATGGCTTGGTTAGGTTAGGTAGATAGATAAGAATATTGAAAGGTTGAAGTCGGTAAAGATCTTTTCCAACAGTGTTGCATACCTAAGGTATACCTAGGATTGCCTTTCTTTACAAAGTACTTGCCTTGCTTTTTCCATGTCCAAAGATCTTTCTTCTTCTAATTATGAATAGTACACACATGCATATGTGTATGCACTTTCCCCCTTACTCTAATTGTATGTATGCACCTACACCACTGCACCTATATATTAGATACTTCAGTCTTACATATACCAACGTAAGGCATCTGAGATGTACATAACATATTCTTTATCATCGTCCCATTTTTGGTATGTTTATACCTAGCCTATAGGAGGGCTATACTGATTGGAGTTATCCTGCAGACTTAGTCCTCGCTAGTCGCCATATTGTACATTCATTATGTTACATCCCTGGATATATACCTCTATGCATGCACGACACCGCTAATTTACACTCGTCTCAGCTCTTCGATCGGCCTTATTCCTTTTAGAGCGCGGCTCTAGCCGAGTGATGGGTTCCAGTTCTTCGGGGCTGGCATATAAGGGTTCTTCATGCCCTTCCTCATTCCATTCGCCAGGTATTTCATGTCCGGGCCCATCGACCGAGGCGTCTCCTCCAAGAACTCTTTCTTTCTTACGCTCCGATTTACTAGCTTCCTTACGAATCCTTTCTAATTTCGCTCTACGCTTAGCAGTGTCAACGCTGACGTTAGCCAGATGAGCATCGATCCGAGCCTCCAATAATTCTTTCACGTGGAAGGCAAGGTTCTGGCTTCGAAAGACGCCAGAGTACCGATAGCTAAGCCAGAGGTAGAGCGTTATCGTCTTGTGAAGACTTTCTAGTCGTCGCAGATGCTCTGGTGAGTTACCCAACGCCGCCTCGTCCGTGTCAAGAAGTTCCAGGTCGATCTCTGGGATATCGAGGAGCTCACCTCCTTCCATATTAGAGACGCACCTTGCGAAAGCTTGTAGTATTTCAACGCCCGCCTTATCAGCCAGATAGACCGGCGCATTTAGGAAAACGCATCGATCATACACTGACATGGGATAAGGTTGGATATAATCAGAAACCGCTAGCATTTCTTTTAGGCCGCACATATGAAATCTCGGAGAAACTCGGGCGATATCTCGCAAGCGGGATACTATATAGCTGAATGGAGTATTAGGCGGGAAGTAGGATGAAAATCGTTCGATGACCGACGGTGGTGGTTGTATACCCGCCGACAGTATAGGTTCCGGCTCGCGAGAGAATGCCTGCTTTACGACAGAAAGGTCGGCCTTTTCCAGAGTCGTCACATACCCAGGCTGGCCAGTTTTGGGCGGTGGTTTTCCAATTGTCTTATCTCCATTTACGTCCGTTGTCGATTCTGATTCGTTTGCTTGGCGTGCCGTCCTATAACGGCCAGCTCTGCCTCCTATCTGCTTGATTTCGGACACTGATATTTGCCGGTAGCCGGTTTTCGTGCGTTTGTGTGTTTGCTCAAAGATGATCCGTTTAATTTCTAAATTGAGACCCATACCAATAGCGTCACTGGCGACGAGAAAGTCGTAATCGTTATCGGGATCATTGAAAAGTGCGGCCTGCTGAGCGCGAGTTTCGGGTGGCAATGATCCGTAGACTATGGCACATCGGCGCCCTGTAAGCTTCTCGATCTGGTTCTTTATAGCGTGGATGGCGACTCGGGAGAATGCGATGACAGCGTCCCCCTTTTGAAGGTTTGAGTAGTTGTCTAGGTGCGTATCCATAGTTTGTAGCGGGCTGAGTCTGTTATACCGCGTTACAACGCATTTATCGCCGATAGTAGCGCATAGAGACTGAATCAGTTCCACAGCACGCTCCTCTCCACAGAGATGGACCTCCTTGGCTTGTACACCTAGGACCGCTTGAGTCCACGCCCATCCTCTTTCGCTATCTCCAATCATTTGGATCTCATCGATGACTGCAACATCCACTGGTAAGTTAAGAGGGGCCATCTCGACGGTACAGCTTCTAAAATAATTGTCTTCGTTCTCAGGAATACGTTGTTCTTCACCGGTAACCAAGGCGCATTTCTTGCCCTTAGCATTGAAGCGAGTATATACTTCGTGTGCTAATAGCCGAAGAGGGCCTGCGTAGATACCGGACTTGGAGTTTTCAAGCGCCTTTAGGGCATTGTAGGTTTTCCCAGAGTTGGTCGGACCGACATGAAGATGAATTGTGCGCTGCATAGCCCGTGTAGCAGGAAACCACTCGTAAGGGAACCGAAAATCCGCGATCTTTTTATGCGTAGAGGCGATATTCTTGGGAAATCTCGAGCGCATAAGAAAGTTTTGGAAGCCATAGGTCAACTCATCAGCTAGCCCAACAATATCATTCTGAACGAAAGCATTGCGCAAGCCCCAGAACAAGGGGTTTTCAGTCTTTGAGATAGCATTCTTCTCGCTCGCAAGATCGCAAGCCCTTTCAATCGAATTTCTAAACAGCTTTACCTCGCGGTCTAAGTCGATCTTGGAGTTGACACCGAATGATTTGTACTCATCCTGCTTGCCTTCCCAACCATTAGAAGTAGACATCATCAGGTCATATCTACCAAGAGTTAGGTTTCGGAATATGCCATAGGTCTTAGTCGCTTCTCTTTGCGAATGTTTGGATCTCTTGGCACCATCTTCACTTAATCTATTCAAACGAGATTGAGCATCTTGATATCTTGGAATATTGTACGGTATACTTGGATTCGACTGTTATAAATTGTTAATATTTATGATCGAAAAGTCTTATATTCTTCTCACCTTTTTCACCCAGGGATTTGGCTTCGACTTTGACTTTGCTGGGACGCGCGCCGCGGCACTGAATGTTGTAAAGGCATGTCTAAAGAAGACATTTCTAAGGGAGACATTTCCAAAGACAACATATCTATGATATGCGTGAGCCGCATAGCTTGAACTAGCCGGTCTAGTCCTGAGAGGGAAGTGCATTTCACCTATGAGGAATGAGAAAGAAGTCGGGAATCATATTAGATTTTGATCCCTTTGCATTAAAAATGGTTTGCCATCAACCTTGAAGCTAATGAAGCATTCAATGGGAGGCAAATCATAGACAAATCGTACCCTAGAAACTTCAACGATAGTGGGCACCGATAAGGTACCTAACATAAATTTTTCTTATCGATGAATCCATAGCTTATCCAAGCAGCCCAAGGGATGCTTAGTACGACTTGCGTTACGTACGCACGGAGTACAAACGGTACTTGCCTATTGTGATATACTGGTTCTTAAGCTTGGTTTTTTATTGGCTGGTACCTCCTACATAGGTAGTGTTGGCCAGTCACTTAATGCATTCCCCAATGGATCTTGAGTTCGCCTAAGAACTTAGAAGGTAGCCTCACCCCAACCGCCTGAACTTGCTGACTTGCTGACTTTCATTTTCGTCAATCCTATTGCCAATCCTATCCCCTACCTTCGAAAGTCCCTCCCTCCTAGATATTCCTCTCCTAAGTTACTAGATAAATTAGGTAGTTAGTCAAGGCTGAAACCCACGAATACCATCAAAAGTCTTGAGCGATCGGCTACATTCTACATAAACTGGGTGCCTCAATACATCATTCACGATGGCGTCCTCCTCGACACCTCAAACTCCACTTCTCTAGTACGTCCTGATCCATCTTATCCATCGAAAGGAGCCAATGAGCGTAGCTGGGCGTAGCTAACAAGCGCAGTTCGTGCATCGCGCATCATACTACCATACTAGCTGAATGTACGACTTCGGCCTCGTCGCAAACCTCGTCGCTCGCTTCCCTTATCCTCCCCAAGATCAACCATGACACTCCTCAGAAGCTCACGTACACGCATGGCTCGCACCACATCCACTACATATCGGAAGCGCCCTCGGCGCATCCGGACAACCGATCGGCCGGTGGGTTGACGTTCCTCGTGATCGCGGAGTCGTCGCTGGGCCGTCGCGTGCCTTTCGGCTTCCTATTCGAGATCCGCAAGCGCTTCTTCAACGAGTTCTCCGCGGAGACAACCGACTTTGCCGATATGCCTAACTATGGCGCGGGAAGCTTCAATGCCGAGCTTAAAAACCTGATGGTCGAGTTCGGCACCACGAGCGGTGGCCGCGACGATGCCATCACCAATGTCCAACGCGAGATCGACGACGTCCGTGGTATCATGACCCGCAACATCGAAGGTCTACTCGAGAGAGGCGAGCGCATCGACTTACTTGTTGATAAGACGGACCGCCTAGGTGGCAGCGCGCGAGAGTTCAGAGTGCGCAGTCGCGGTCTCAAGAGGCAGATGTGGTGGAAAAACGTCAAGTTAATGGCGCTGCTCATAGTAGTGATCCTCTTGATCATTGTCGCGATTGTGATTACAGTCAAGAATGCTACGGGATGAGCCGGAAGTACAACAGCATACATGTATACGTTCTTTGAAAGTTTAGGGGTATCCATGCGCGGGCTAAGGAAGAGAGCCTGAAAAGCCTCATAATTTGTTGTGTTTCCAACGGCGTTTTTTCTAGGCTGACAAGTAGAGAGGATGTAGTCTGTGTTAATACCAAGGCTCATGAATAGGCGGGAAAAAGAACAACCCGCCTTGTTCTTTTTGTTGGCGTCGGTACTCGAGTCGGAGGAATTGCTTTAGGATACCAGGTGTATTCTTGTTTATAGCTATGTACATACAGTTCTGTATTTTTAACAAGCAGATTGGTTCAAGCAGCTGTAAGTGGGCTTTTAGCTCCTATGATTATAGCTAAGTCTGTAGCAAGCAGATCGCCTTATGATATAATAAGAATAGTTTCTCTAGACAAGCTCGAATATTTGTTAAGGGTACTCGGCCATCCAAATTATTGGTCGAAACATTGGTTCATGACGCCTGCCTCTACCCCTTTGCCCATGAAAAACATCCCTCATAATCTAGAAGAAATAGTTCCGTCGGTTCTTCGCTGTGTTTCCGGATAGGCGTATCCATGCGCAACGGGGCTAGTTACTCCCACCGAGTCAAACACGAACGGCGACCTTCGTAACCTCTCGGTGAAGAAAACAGGATGCAGACTCGAAGCGTCCATCTTCATAGTCGCAAGAGTCGAAGGGTATGGTATCGGTCCTGCGATACCTTGTGGCATGTGACCGGGAAGCGGCAATGGCTGAACTGCCGGGACCGGAACCGGAGTCGGCATCGGCATTGAAATCGGCTCTTGAGAGTATGACGACTGAGGTGATGAGTTTAGAGATAAGACATTTGGTGATGTCTGAGCCGACAACTGATTTGTTTTTATGTCGGGCGGCTGAATGTTAGAGTTAGTAAAACAAAGATAAGGACGAAGCCGTAGGTACGAAATTGAAACTAACCCGAGGTTGCTGTCCAATGTCGTCATTCTCACGTGGGGATAAAGCAGGGTGCTTTAAGCCGAAGACTTGAGATACCGAGTGCCGCAACATTATGTCCCGTTCGACTGAAGAAATAAAACGAATAAAACGAATTAGAAATCAGTAGACATTTACCTACTACGATGATAATTTTCTGGAGAGGTAGCAATTAATGCTGCCTTACGGTGGAACTCTGATCCATTGTGTCTTATTGAAATGCATAATGTATGTATACTCGGTACGTTGAACCCATGCAATGATGATGCATATATAAGCTATTAAATTCGGGGCCATCACAGGCGGACATCTATGTTTAGGCTGGATCTACCAGACTACTTAAGGTACATATGCAGTTTAATCCTTTAGGTATGCACCCCGGAAGTTGCTGTGTAAGTCGTTGGAGAAATCTTCCTCGGTTCATCAAGACTCTTCCCTCGTGAGTTGCACAAGAGAATTAGAGCGAGGATACTTAATATTAAACTATCTATTAGGAAGTCTATTCATGACGAAGTCTTCTTACCCTTCCGTCGCGAAGTTTTCTTTTCGGCCTCTTTCCCCTTCTTGATTGTATTTATTAACGAGTCGATCTCCTCGGCCTTATCTGCTTCCTTTTTCTCCTGCTCTTTTAACTCTTGCTTTTTCTTTTCCAAGACTCTTAGCGCTGCCTGTTCCTTCTCGGTCTTCTCAATAAGCTTGTCACTGGCTTCCCATAGCTTTTTCGCTACCTCTTCATCCTTTACCTCCATCCTCGCAAAGTCAACCTCGCTGCATTCCTTAAGAAACTTGCCACCCGGTCCCATCCCTAACCTTGGATCCATAACAGCATGAAGAATAGACTGAGCACCCATTTCCGGGCTCTTCAAAAGAAACCAGGGTACTACGTAAGAGAATACATAGACCGCAAGTCCCCAGAGCGAGCCCCGTGTTAGCCATCGCCGCATTCCAGGCGTGCGCGTAAAGCCAGGGTCGACAAAGATGACTCGGGAGTTCATTGGAAGTTCGTCTGGTCGCTTGTACGCATCGAGATGTTTTTGATACGCTTGTCCAAATACCATTAACGCCAACTTGCTTCGGGCATAAGCTTTCCCTGGGGTCCATTCCTTCTTCACGAGCGCACTGTTGAGCGTCGGAGACCGAATGTAAGAGGAACACGTTGGAATGATTATTCGTACGTCGCGATCGAAGGGTTGGGCTCGGAGAGCTGGACTTAATATTCCTAATAGATGAAAGTTGGCGAGATAATTGACCATCCACATCTCTTCAATTCCTTCCTCCGTCTCCATACGTTTGCCCCCTGGTGGTGTAATAGTGGCAGCACATAGAATGAGCATGTCCAACCGGCGGGGCGGTGCGTTATCGATCCATTTGGTAGCAAATTTACGAATGCTATGTAGAGAAGAGAGGTCGACCTGTTCCGCATATATCATTTGGTTTTTCGTTCGTTGGCGCAGTTCCCCGATATAATCTGCGAGGAAGGGGTTCGACGGCGGTAGATGGGTAAGAAGCACAATTTGGGCTCCTCGTTCAGCTAAGTCCCGTGTTACAGCAGCGCCTATTCCTGATGTCCCGCCAGTTATCATGACCACCCGGCCGTGCATTTTGCGTTCTGCCACGTTCACGGTTCCGCTGGAGTATCGCTTTAGAAGGTACAGGAATCCGGTAACGGCTCCAATTTGGAACAAGGTCCATGGGTCGCGCGCCCAACCGGGAACCCAAGCCGGAGGGCCATTTACAAGTACGTCGTAGAAGAATGGAATTGGCATGATGACCAGGTAGAAGCAATTGAAATTCTAGGTGGAATTTGAGAAGAAGTCGTTGGTGGAAAGTCTAGCTGATGGAAGCATCCATTTCTAAGCAATCCTTGAATAGCGCGTAGCGTGTACGGATTACATACAGGGGGCTGTGACGACAACTTTTTTTTTCTGTCCTTTAGATCTTTACATAGCACCACTAAAAACACTGAACAGGGGTTGACAGATCGGAAATGCAAGGCTGAATGTGCCGAGACAGGACCCACTGTTATATCTTAGATAGGTACATGATCCCTGCACTTTTGAATTTCGCCTCATCACTTGTCAGCCCTTCCAACTTCCTAACTTTCACCATTATTTATTTCCTTCATGCACAACATAAAAGGTTACGACAACCTGTAAATCCAGGTTTCTGTCTAGATGACTGTACTTTATTAATTCTCAAAATGGTGTCTGATGAGTGGAGTGATCCTGAATACGATATCCCTCTTCAAGATAAGCGACCGTTTGGATCAGGACTAAAGCGAAAACGGGTCGTTTTCGTACCTGCTTCTTCAGGCAACCTCAACACTACAGAAGAGAACACATCCACGAAACCTTCCAAATCTGTAGCTGATTTATACCTGAGTATTGTATTGCCTAAGGAAAAGGAGGTTAGCCAATCAACCTCAAAGGAGAGTTCAGATGTTGCTACAACCCCTCGAACCTGTGAAATCTGTCGGTTACCTTTGGAGGAACCTCTAGAAGAGGGCCCCGACTCCGATAGAAAAGCGAAGACGAGCTCTCGGCCACATGAAGCTTCGATAGCACATCAGGTATGCCTAACTCATTCGCATCCGCCTTCGGCACTAGACCGGTCGCGAATGGGGTTGAATATCCTTCAATCTCAAGGCTGGGATCCAGACTCACGAAAGGGACTGGGCGTTGAACAACAGGGTGTGCAATATCCCATCAAAGTAAAACCAAAGAACGATACCCTAGGGATAGGAGTCCAAGTGCCAAAGAACCTACCGCCCAAGAAGGAGAAGGCGAAGACTTATGACGCGAAAAAGGTGCGGAAGATGGCCTTGGAGGATAAGAAACGGCATGAAAAACTCCGGCGGCAGCTTTACAGCAATTCGGATGTGGAGAAATACTTGGGGACCGGATAAAACACACCGCACGTCTTTGGTCACATATTATATATGGGACTATTTAATCATATGAGATACCCCTTTTCCAGACTGTCGATAGACTTGAGTCTGATTACTCTATAAACTCTATAATATAATACATATTAGTTAACTTAAGTGTCGGGGTTATATCAACCGTGGCTTGACTTATTAGTTCATATCTCCATCAACTAAGAACCTTGACAACCACCTAACGTGTCACGCTACGTATGACGTCCCGCAACTCTAAACTTCTGTTGTGAGTAACTACCTACCTAGGTACCTAACAATTGCATTGCATGTATTAGGTTAGGTACAAATGTATATAAGGCTGGGTACCTTCTGTAGGTGGGTACCTATACTTTGTAGTACCCAGGTACGTTAGGTAATTAATGTTGTCCGCTAGCGACGAAGTGGGGCTTTCCAATGTCCAACTCGGTCGCATTAGCGGATTGGCGCCCTGAAACCAAACCCCGCCAAGGGCCAAGAACCACATTACCACTTTACTACATTCTCACGGTCCCGTCTCTCTGAAACTCAAATCCTCTTACCACGTTACTAGGTGTAATGCGTTCATCGATACCGGAAACTTGCATTTGCTTTGGTGATACAGGTAAACTCTTCTTACGTCCATCTCTTGTCACCATACGCGCCTACCGGAACTCGTTACTTGTACATGCGAACAATTACCAACATCGATACGTTAGTTAATAGGTACTTGTAGGAGCTTACCTTTAACCTACATAGCCTCCTACTTCCAAGCTCACCAATTACACAACACGTCGTGTTTTTGTCACCTCGAAACCCTCGTAGAAGTAGCGCGTCGCCATAATATCTCCGTAGTGCCTACGGGCTAAGAGACAAAATGGGGGTATCCGTGATTGAAGAACAACGCGACGGTGAGAGGACCCCCCCTATACCTTCACGAGGCTAGAAGCTTGTCTTTCTCGTCGGCAAGAGTCTGTTTGTAGCATAGCTAATATTATGAATTCTCTCTCGCATACAGTTATCATAAATACAGTTAAGAACATTACTGCTGGCGATGTAAGCTATATACCTACCCCTTATACCCCTTTCTAAGACCGAGACCACCATACATACTAACGGGACACTGCGTGTAGTGGAAAGTTCTGGTTATCGACACCGAATCTAAGAAGATAATTGACAATGCCGTCAAGGAAGATGATATTCTTAATCATAACATTGCGAGTACGTTACCCGACCACGTCCTGTCTCTGGCGCATTGGCTGAAGAGAGTGCTACAGACATCGAACTTATCGAAGATCGGAGAGATATGAACCCGAGTATGGACGCTATATATATACTGTCGCCGCAACCTCACATTGTAGATTGTCTAATGGCCGATATTGAACGACGGAGATATAAAAAATGCTATTTAGTATGGACCACGGTACTCGATCCTCAGCTTAGGAGGCGGATAGACGGTTCAGCCCTAGCAAAGCAGCAGATTGCGGGCTTTGAAACTCTCTCGATCGACTATTACCCTCGCGAGTCCCACGTCGTTACGTTTAGAGACCCTTGGAGCTTTCCAATCCTATTCCATCCCGCTTGCAATGGACTTATAAGGAAGCACATGCAAGATTTGGCTCAGAAGGTTTGCGGAACCATATTAGTTTACGTCTGATACCCGTCGTCTGACTTGAATGTTGATAGATCACTGGTTTATGTGTGACCCTTGGCGAGTACCCCAAGGTCCGCTACTACCGGCCCCAGAATCCAATACATGAGGCGAGCGTATTATCGTCGCATCTTGCCCGTTTTGTATCTGAGGAGCTCGACGAATATGCACAATGGAATCCTAACTTTCCACCGCCGAGTTCCCGGCCGCAGGGAGTTCTCATAGTGACCGACAGGTCGATGGATCTGATGGCTCCCTTGATACATGAATTTACATATCAAGCAATGGCACACGATCTACTACCGATCAAGGACGGGGATAAGACGACGTTCCATATGACCGTTAACGAGGGATCCCCAGATGCAGAAGAGAAGGACATGGAGCTCACCGAAAAAGACAAAGTGTGGGTTGAAAACCGGCACAGACATATGAAGGACACCATCGATAAGTTGATGAGCGATTTCCATAAGTTCCTCGATCAAAACCCCCATTTCACAAATTCGAACAGCGACACTACCAGTCTAAATGCAATTAAAGATATGATGGCGGGGTTGCCGCAATTCCAAGAGATGAAAGAAGCATATTCTCTCCATCTTACCATGGCGCAAGAGTGCATGAACATCTTCCAACACCATAAACTATCCGAAATGTCTCCTACAGAACAGGATATGGCTACAGGCCTTGACGAGGATAATCGGAAACCGAAAAACGTCCTCGATGCGATTGTTCGCCTCTTGGATGATGACGCTGTCACTCAGTCGGATCGTCTGCGCCTCATAATGATGTACCTCCTTTATAGGGACGGAGTTATCCCTGAAGATATTCAGAGGCTATTAGCACATGCGTCTTTACCACCCCAGGACGGCGAAATTATAGCAAATTTGGAATTACTTGGTGGCCGTACGACACATGGTCTCAAGGATATCCGTAAGGACTTAAAACCCCTCTTCCCCATCGACCCGAAGGTACCGGTTCCCGAGGATAATTATATGTCACGATTCAATCCTGCGGTGAAAACCATGCTGGAACACCTATGTAAAGGAGCATTGGATCAGACGGCATTTCCATATGTCAAACCACCACTTGACCCCAACGAGGACGCGCTCATTGGCCATGGCTCTCTGCGAGCAGCGAAACCTAGCTGGGCTGGTGCTGGTAGACGTGTCGTAGATAACAGACAACGCATTATTGTCTTTATGGCCGGTGGGGCAACGTTTTCCGAATCGCGCTCTTGCTATGAGGTTAGCGCTGCTTTGAATCGCGACGTCTTCCTAGCAACTAGCCATATGCTCACACCACAGCTATTTGTTAGACAGGTGGGTGATCTGGGCGTAGACAAGAGACGACTCGATATACCTATGGAGAGGCCACCCCAAAGAGCACCGGCACACTTATTCGAACGACCCGCTCCACCACCGATGGCCGCTCCCCCGGTACCACCAGGTGGCCAACGCCCGCCCCCAGGACGAGCACCACCTCGTCCTGGTGGGCTACCAGGCGGGCTACCAGGTGGGCCAAGAATAGGTGGCGAGCCTCATGCTCCGCCCACACATACTCCGCCTGTACAGGCAATGAGCAATATGTCGCTTCACACTCCTAAACCATCAAACGGAAGTGATGTCAGACCTCCGTCGTCGGCGAGCGGAGGCAAACCACACAAAGTAGAAAAGGAAAAGAAGAAGCGTAACATCTTCGGAATAAAGAAGAGCTGAGGAAAGGAAGAGAAGGACGTAATCCCATAGGGTTAAATCTCAACGTGCAGACACAAGGCAAAGCGCCTAAAGACTAATACCGCAGGACTAAGTAGGGCTTAGTTCTTTCTTGGGTAACATGACTGCCGAGCGTTTGGAGATAGGAGGCCAGGTAGACCGAGAAGGAATCGATAACATGCACATACATTTGGCAACGAATGCATAGCGTTGAGGAGTTGGCGTCTTGAGAGCGAGCGTTGCGTTCTGTTGCTGTATAGAGTTCCACATGGCAAGGCAGCCAGGGAGGGAAGAGATTGGTTGGTTGGTTGGTTGGTTGGGTTAGTTATACAATACATACAGCCTTTGTGTACATGGCGGCGCGAATATAATCCAAATCATAGACACATTATTTATCTACTGTCCAAGAGCCAAGTTAAATATTTGACTGCTTGAGTGCCTAATGAAAGATATTTTATGAGTTAATCTTATTTAGGTTAGATATATCATAGACAACAGAATCCAAGAATGAGAGGAAATATGACGAGAGTTTTAATTACTTTTTTCTTTTTTCTATTGATAGTCCTACTTGTAATAACTTAACTAAACGTCCTCCCTTTCTTTAACCACTCTCCTTACTCCCGTCGTTTGTCAGCACTTCCTCCGGGGTTCCGAATACGCGTATCCTTCCCGTCCTACTATTAATATTATATTATACATCGTATTATTTCTACCTGCCCACCTAATGCCGCAGACACGTAATCCAGGTAAGCAAATTGCACCGAATGGCCCTTTCTTGACACTCGTCCGCCCGGTCTCATTCTCCCTTCGTCCGAACTCCGTTCCCTTTAGAATAACTAGAGATTGTCCGGAAGTCCTGATTTCGGTCCGGAGGGATTTTATATATATCACAAGTCACGGGTCACGGGTCATGTCGCATGAGAGGTATATATAAAGGGTTAAAATGAAAACCCTAGGTTAGAATCGTCTCTTCCACTATCAAGTTTCATAATTCATTCTCATTACTACATTACTGTCAGGCCAACACGCAAACTATTACTCTGTGAACCTGGTTGTATTTGCTTTGGCGCAGAAACAAAGCCCTGTAATAGGATAACTAGCAGGGTAGAGCCTCTGTTTGGTTCTAGACTAATTTGCTTTGCTTTTCTTTACTGTTGTTGGGAGCGAGCAAGGAGGGTTATTACAATAGTACACGCTCTAGTCCCTTTAATTCCAAGGAGAAAAAAAGGAATCGCCTAGACCCATCTTTTCGTCCCTTATCTTCACGTCCGACCTGTTCCTACCAGTACACACATAAGCGTCCCGTCGCCTCCGCTTAATCCAGTTACTACAGGGAAATATTGGGAATATGTCACGATAAACCCACTAAGTTTACATCTGAACTGAGTGTGATGCAATGTTTAGTCCTCGAAGTAATTAGATTCGGAAGACCCCTAGTTTCGACGGAAAGTGCCGGGAGGAGGAGGCATGCCGCGGTGATCGAAACCGAATGCTACATTATCCGGTCCTTGGAAACCAGGGATCCCCGGGGGTATAAATCCCGGCGGTGGCGGGCCACCGAAGAAGCCCGGAGGCGGTGCCATGTTGCGTGGGGGGCCGACTATCCCCTCTGGAGGAAATGCGCCTATGGGGAAGTTTCCTGGTGGGAATGCTCCCGGAATGGGGACGTTGCGTGGGTTCCCAGCCAGCCCAGGAGGGGGGATCATAGGCCGACCTGGAGGGGGTAACTGCTGTGCGTTGTTCTGCATCCAAGCAGTTGGATGAATCTGATCCAAGCCCGGGGGAACTTGGCGCTGGAGAATCTGGGTGGGCTGCTGTGGGCGACTATCTTGTTCCCTATGATGAATTGGAGCTTCGTCAAAGAAGCTGGGCAAGTTGGTGGGACGACCAACTTGATGTTGCGCGGTAATACGTTCATGTTGATAATCGATTTCCCTGTCTGGCGTAGGAAGAATTTGTGCTGGCCTGGAGGGCTGCGGCATTCTCATAGCAAGTTGCTCATTTCTCTGGCCTTCGGGCGCTACTCGGGCGCTCTGCATTAGAGTCATGAGGAACTCAGCATTACTGTTGTTACTTCGACTTGGTGGTTGTTCAGAACGCGCTGCGCTCTGCCGCTGGCCAATGAGGTCATGCAAGACCTGCTGTTCTGAGCGCATTCCGGCAGCAAATTGCGGATGCACTTGTGGCCTAGGTGTGTGAACATCTTGGCCTTGAGGAAGTACACGAGAGAGCGGCTCTTCGCGGCGGTCCTGCGCATAAAGCTGGTAAGGGCCGGGGGAGGCAATCACATGACTAGGAGGAGGCTCTGAAAATCCGCCAGATGGCGGCGTCGTAGCCTGAAGAGTTTGCTTCTGCAACTTTTGCAATAATGCTTGAAAGGCGACTTTTTCGGCTGTGTCATTTTGTGTTTGCCCACCTCCTAGAGCGAAAAGAGGGTTCATCTCGTTGGCTGGTGGAGCACTAGCAACAGGAGTTGGAGGCTCAACTTGGCGTCGAGATTCTTCTTGAGACGAGAAAAGCTTCTGAAATCGAGAGCCCGTCTTTGGCTTGGTAACAGGAATAGAATTCTCCTTGGCAGCTTCACCAGTGCTAGCTGGCGTTTCAATGCTTGAACTCTGTGCAAATGCAGCGAAAAATTTATCCGGTCCAGTCTCTATAGCAGGCGCCGACTTGACTTTTGTCTTCTCGGCTTCAACCTTCTCGGGTGGTGCTGATACTTCAGTAATTGACCTAGGGGCCGGCTCAGCCTTTGCCGGGTTCTTCCCTGCCTTCATACTATCCATAAACTTCATGAAGTCCTCTTGAGTATGCGCTTGGGACTGCTCTTCGACGGGCTCATCAAGCCATTCCGGTTCCCGTTCCTGACGCTGATCCCGGTCTCGATCCCATCTTCGTTCAAATGTTCTCTCCCTCGGCCTATCTTGCTGTCCTTCACCTTGATGCTCGTTTCCGGCCCTATCTCTCCAACTCTTGGACCTATCAAAACGCTCCCGAGGCGCGGGGGCATCATTGTCCCTTAGCCAAGGTTGATCGGTCCTGTTCTTGTTCAGGCCGTTTCTACGGGGTTTATCGCTATCTTCCCCTTCTTTCTCCTTGGCAAACTCGCCGAAGTTGCGACGGGGTCGATCCCCATTGTCATTGTCATCTTGATCGCGTGGTCGACGTTCTGGTCCAAAACGCTCAGGCCGGTCACCCATACGACCATGGAATCTTTCAGCGCCTTCATGCCCAAAACTCTTACGGGGTTTCACGGTACTCCAACCCTCACTGTCCTGGTCGTCACCGCGTCGGCGGAAGCCATTCCGAGCGTCACGATCGCGGTCACGGTCACGGAAGCGCTCAGAATTGTCAGCATCGCCATTTCGAGAGCGGAAGGCGAAGCGGTCTCGAGCATCGGTATCCTTCAAGGTCTTATCGTTATCGAATGGTTTGTTGGCCCTTGTGAGGGTAGCCGACGAAAAAGTCGTTCGGGGAGGTCCAAGGATAATATCCTCAGAAACTAGGGAAACAGGTTAGAAGAAACTAGATAGAGGGGAATTAATATAAAAACATACCTCCGACGTTTCGCGACGTGTGTCTGTCAATGCCTACTCGTCTATTAGACTGGTCTAATAAGGAGCTGTCGTTGCTTCTTCTCTCAGTCCCAGGTTTATTCCCTTGGGTGTTGCGGAAGGCTTCGGGCGGTGGCCTATACAACTTATTAGTATGGCCACAAAAGTAAATTTCATCCTTTATTAACTTAAACGTACCCCATCCATTCTTCTGCAGGAGGAAGTGCGCCCGGCTTGACGCACAAGGGCGACTCGCGCAGAAATATCAGCGTCTCTACTGTATATCGTAATGCCATATCATTTGAGGATCAGGTAGTTATCTAAATTTGAATAGTACGTATATGCGGCGGGGAGACGTGGACAGCATCCACGTTTGAAGGGTATGCGGTCGTAGTAGGGGCGGTAAGATAGATTATCGTGAGTTGGCTAAGCAAGGCTCTCCTTAAGAGTATCTGTCTTGTGCGGGGTGGAAGAGTTAGTGAGGGCGTGACGAGGGTTTTTTTTTTTGTTGGCAACACCGGTCGGGTGCAAGGAATCCCGGACCCTAGAAGGGAATTCTGTCGCTCATCAAAGTTGATCAAGGTCGGATTGCTAATTGGAATTGGAGGGAGGAGGCGCGTCAATTGACAAGGCGGTCAATCTGAAGACGAGGGTGCGAAAGGGTATGAGCTACCTCGGATGGAGAGAAGCGACGTGAAGGAGAAGTGGCGGTGGTATCTCAAAGACGCATTTAAAACTTATATGTCTGATGAATTAAAAATAATGTTGTAGTGGCTTTTTTGTGGCTGCACGGAAGAAGTGTCTTTAGTTGATCGGAAGATGTTACAATGGATGTATGTTGTAGGCCGACGTCAAAAACATTTGTCCAAATACCAAATATTTCCTTGAGGAGACCACCAGAAGTTTATTAACTGCCCTGAAGATATGAGAACTGGGAAATGTAGAAAGTGGTCCGTGTCCCGTCTTTCGGGGTAGGTATGAAGTACGTAAATACGTAGATATGTACTTCTGACAAGGTAATCCCGTAAGCCGCATGACATGTACATGTATGTACCAAAGATTAGCAGCAGGCACAGGGCAGGCCTGACGTACTATGCAGTATTGTACAGCTAATTTAGCGTCACGCTGGCCTGAGTGGGTCGATATCTGCAGGCTTTTGATGCCTAAATCGGGTCAGCTATGTAAGAGTTCCATAGGGCAATTATATAATCAACTTCTACCAAATGACTTTCATATGAGGTAGACTTTCATATTTAGTTACCTTACCTAACACATATCGACCTATAAGTAAGGTACCTCATAGGGGTAACGTGTTGTCCTTGTCTAAGACTTATTTATAGTCGTGTCAATGATTATAACGAACCGACTAGAAATTTCACGTTACACTATAAATCATAGCTTCCACAAGAGAAAACGGGATGCGTGTGGGAGTTGTAAATAACTCTGCATTGGCTTATGGCATATGTAAAATGGGTATGTTTTGGTAGTATATACGGATACTATCATGGCTCTACAAGCCTTTCGATGCCACCCTTGCTCCACGCCGAGATGCGTTCTTGATCACAGGTTTCCCATAATCTTCTAAGCACCGCTTGATACACTCCGCGCTCAGTAGCATCTGTTGCTGTATCTCTCTGCGCCAAAAGCCAACTCACCACTCCAAACCTCGTAATCAAAGTATCGCTTCCCCCCTCGATACTCGACATCCTGTAAACAATCCTCAAGATTTGCGTCCTCAGATTAGGACCCATAAAGGGGTTGGACGTTAAAGCGAACAACCTCTCGGGAACTCTGCGTTTATGGAATAAAGCCACGTCCGCGGGTGTTCGTAA